TAAATCCATTTCTGTATTTTACAGGTCTGGCAGTAATCAGATCTGGATGAGACAAGTGAATTTTTTATTTAGTTACTTTTTAAACCAAATTTTATTTGGTGATCTTAAACATAAATGTATATTTTTTTAATCAAGATAACACAAAAGTGAAATGGCTATAGCTACTATACTACTTACAAGTAGTTATAGGAGGGAAGGACCCTGCAGCATAGCAAACAGATAGGAGCATGTTTAATTAAATGAAGTGCTGTGATCATGTGTTGCCCTAATTTTACGCAAAAGTTCAGCTTTCATGATTTGCTCCTCAGTTTCTGAATGCACCAACTAGTTTAGGCCTATTTTTGACTTTTGATTTCTGGAAACTGTACTACGTGTGTAAATTCCTGACACACGTGTCAGCGCTCCAAACGTGCCATCAGACGTCTTGTCTGTGGCACGTCTGGTAAACTGGCAGGACCTGTTTGGATCATTACTGACCCAATTTTAGGACTGTGATACGGTCTGGTGACTGCTAACCATCAATAATCGTTCACATGGACACATTTTAAAATGTGTATATATAAAGGTAACCATAAAGAAAAAGATCTGACACCACTCTACATCATTATACCTTGAAAGAAAATTACATGTTATTATTTTATTGAAAGTGAAACTGACATTTGTAAGTAAAACTGCATGAAAAAAACCCCTCAAACTCAGGAGATTCTTGCTGCAAGGCCAAAGTACTACCGACTGCACGCATGCTGTAAACATTTCTATAAAAACACAAATGCGTTTTTTCTTTCAGAGCTGCACCACATATGTTCAAGGACTCAATCACTACTGTGAGCTTCTTCAGTGTGACACTCATAAATCTGGCTGAAAATGTGCTGATTGGCACCTTATGCTGCTCGTTGAGCAGCAGAGCTTCAAGAAGCAGATTTTTTTTAAAATTCAGAATGAGACAGAGCTAAGAGGGAAGAGCTTTTCTACATTTACAACATATTCCACCTGTGGATTTATGGCCTTTCAATAAAAATGAACTATGCCGGATCTTAAAATCATTAAGAACTAAAAAGACTCTCTCTAAAGCCCTGGTTTGTTTATTTATTTTGGCCCTCTTCAATAATCTCACAGCATAGCGCTTGTAAAAGACCAGAATTACAATAATCGTGTTCGGCTTTGAATTCTCTTCAGACGTTGTTCTGGAAATAAAACAAGCACGGTCAATCTCTGCACAAAATGTAGATGCAAGCCACCCAGTGACATTATGAAGGCTTTCCACCAAGAAATGAGTTATATAACCATACTTTGACACTAATATGTTCTTATGTAATGAAGGAGAAAAAAGAGAGGCTGGGTCCGGTTCTGCTGCTGGTGGTAAACAAATTCTTGAGTGAAACAGAGAAGAACGGAGATGTCTGAGGAGTTTAAAGACGAGTAAAGCTACGCAAAGGAAAGAAAAACAAACAATGGCTCTCAGTGTGTGAGCTTAATGGTTTTGTTGGCAACTGGAAATAATAAATGAAAATGTTGCACCTGTGTTTAAGAGATGTAAATCTGATGGAGGACACGAAGTTCTGATACTGAAATAACTTCTCGGGTTTGTTCCTGTGTCTCTAAATTTGGAGACACTGCATAGGTCAGAGCGGAGAGGGCACCGTGGCTCTTGGTTTGCAGAAAGCTGATCCTCTGACAGAAACAGGGGGAGTTTTCCTTTCTACCATGTGTCTGTGAGGAAAGGCGCAAACACCCGTCTGGCCCCTGTCAATCTGTACGCTCAGCCAACCAGCCGCCCTCAGTGGCGAACGTCGAGCCGGTCTGAGCTGGTTTCTCCTCTCAGCGAAAGCAACAAGTGCTGCAGAACATCTGAGCGCTCAACTGCATTCCTCCATGTGACGACAGAGGAAGCTTCAGCTCTTCGGTCTGGAGTGTTTCCAGAATGCCAGCCTCGGTTGTACAGGCAGGAAATAAACAAACTCTTTAGAATTATTAAAAGATGTCATAAAATTTGCTAATAGGAAGTGATGAATGTTTGCACATAATGCTGGATAAAATCAACATTTATTTTGTTGTTGGTTTTTTCACCTTTTAATGTTTTTGTTCATGATTATTTTTGTTTCACTGAATATCGGATCTTTTTTTAAATTCTGAATTTTAATGTCCTCAAATTCAGAAGTTTATGTATATTTCCTTGGCATTTGGTATTTTCTTCAACTGTGGGTCAAATGTTTTAGGTTTCCTTTCACAAGCTTCTCTCAATAATTTGCTGAAATTTTGGCCTTTTTGTCCTGACAGAACCGGAGTAACCAGGCTAAAAGGAATCTTTACTCACATTTGTTTTTGGCTCTTGTGATTTTCTGTGACAGATACTCAAAAATTTAATCAGCAGGATGATTTGGGTCATCATACAATTAGACTTGAACATCATGTCCAAGCTTCTGGTTGATGTCTTCACATGTTGCTTTAAAACATCTGAATAATGTGTTTTTCCTCATGACATTATTTATTTTGTAAAGTGCACAAGGTCCTCTAAGAGCAAAAAAATAACACCAACCAAATTATGATGCTGGCACTTCACAGGTGGGAGTGTGGTATTATTTCTTAAAGTGTAAAAATTGCATTTAATTTTTATTAGATCATGGAAAATTTCTCCAAAAATGAAGATTTTTGTCCCTGAGTTCAATTGCAAACTACAATCTGTTATTTATTTATTTTTTATTTCTTTGTGGCACTTTTCAAGTTTTGGCTTCTTCTATTCTGAGCGACGTTTCTGCTCATGATAGCACAGATTTCACTCTGCATAATGACACCTAGCATTATTATGTGTTGCTTAAACTTAGTTTAACTGTTTAAAAAGTTAGACTTGACACATATTTGTTTTTTAATATCTTAAAAAGATAATGTTTTGTCATTCATTACACTTTAAATGATTTTAAAACTTTTGCTATTTCAAATACACCCATAAAAAATCACGAGTTACATTGTGGAGAAGGAATATTCCATAACAAAGTACAAAAACACTGCAAGTCTCAGAGAATGTGTTCAAGCTCAACTGTGTCTATAACAAAAGAAAGACACAAAACTTTCTTCAAATCTCTCACTTTAAATTTGAATTTATTGGATTGCTCATGGTTTTTATTAAAAGCTTGTCTGCTCTAAATATAATTATCCAGGCTTCATCTCAGTAAGGTCACTTACCTTCTATCATTAACGAAGCTCTAGCCTGAACAAATAATAATAAAAAAACATGCTTTGTGATATAACTCCTTTGAGTTGCATTGTAGCAAATACCTTTGAGCTTTGAAAGTGCCACACTTTCTGAAAACTGAAGGCGCCTTGAGTCATCTGACATTTAAGACTGCAGGAAAGTGTTCTCACCTCCGCTGCAAATCGTATTTATAATGTGCTACACTAACGCTGGAGGAACAGTCGAGACGGAAAAGAACATTTCCATGACTCAGTAAGATCCTGCTGCTTCCTGACGACTTGGAGGGACACCTGCAAGAAACGTTAATTAGGCACAGTCGATTAATTTATTGTTAGCAGTCTAAGTAGGAGTTTTTGTTGTCTGAAAGTGACTTGCAACACAACACCAAGTAAGAAAGAGCTAATAGTTTGACCTAATTTCAGTGCTATTTATAAATTTTGCTGCCTGTTAATGTGTGTTATGACAAGACGAAAATTAGTACTCCAGCTTTTTTGTCATTCCACACTGGGAAACAAAACAAATCAGTTTTAATCAGGTTTAATAAATAAATAACAAATTAAAAATAATGTATATTTTTCAGGTTTGACTTTTAGTGTAATATTTTTCTTGAAATTGAGCCTGACTTAACAATTCACATAGATTTACAAGAGAACATAGAAATAAATTTTAGCTAAACTTACTTTGTTTTGAAATAAAGGATAGACACAGGTGTACTTTTGATTTAGTTTTTTATCTCTGAGTTTGATCATCTCTTTATTCCTGTTTTGGTCTTATTCTTTGGAATTTGAAGTTATTATTATTATTATTATTATTATTATTATTATTATTATTATTATTATTATTATTATTATTATATAAAGCATATAACAAAGTATTTTCAGACAGTACTGTCAGCAATACTTCCAGTATCCTGTAGAGGGCGACAGCAGGCAGCCCATAGGAAGCTGGAAAGCAAGTCCATCGTTTCAATTTAATTTCATTTAGCAGTTTATTCTTAAAAAGTGTTTTTGTACGCTGTTTAACAGTCTTCCCTTCTATAATGCCTTTTAAAAATGTTAAATTGTCGCTTCATGGTTGAAGTTAATTTCTCACCGTTTATAGATGAGTACAAGTTTTCCTCTTAACATTCTTAAATTCAGCTAAATAATTTAAAGTTCAGATGGATAAAAAAAGACAGTATATCAGCAGTTTGTGGCAGGGCCAAAGCATTTTCAACATCTTAGGCTAATATTGTATCATCCAATAGGTATTTTGCATCTTTATTTACAATATACCTGTATCTCTTCTTGGTTGTCTGCTGTTCTTGATAACATTTAGTATTTATCTGAGTTTATTTTTTTTCTCATGAGTGCAACTACTGAATAAAATATGACAATATTGTAATCTTTGGCTTTACATTAATATTTTACTGTTAGAGTTATTTCTCAGGATGAGATAGCAAACAACAAAATGGTTTAGTGCATTAAAAAGAGGCAGTAACAAATACAAAAAATAAACAGCTAAAAGAAACAGTCAAGCTCTGTAAAAACACTAGTTTTTTATGTCATAGAATTGACCTCAAGAACTTTTTACATTTAGGTTAAACCACTAAATCAGATGAGTTGAGTCAATCTAAAGGTTTCTTGAAACAACCTCCATGAAGAGAAATATTATATATAAAATAAGACACTAAGTAAATTTTATTTATTAAGCTCCTTTCACAGACAAAGCCATCACTAACGCTGCATAGAAAACCAACAATATAAATATTATGATAAAATAATGCACAATGAAAAATGAAAGACATGCAACAGAAAGTCTGTTTGACAAAAAAAAGGGAGAAAATGCACAAAATGTACTTATTAATATGAGTTTGGAAGACATAAAACATTTGTGAGCGACCTTTCTTTCTTTCTTTCTTTCTTTCTTTCTTTCTTTCTTTCTTTCTTTCTTTCTTTCTTTCTTTCTTTCTTTCTTTCTTTCTTTTTTTCTTTCTTTCTTTCTTTCTTTCTTTCTTTCTTTCTTTCTTTCTTTCTTTCTTTCTTTCTGGGCATGCCTCGGTCGCGCGCGCTCTGGAGGTTGTCACGCAGCGGGAGCGCGCCCGGCTCAGGGGCGGGGCCGCGTGGAGTTACCGCAGCCAGGGATGTGAAACTTGTCCCGGATATTTACCTAACTCTACCTGGCCTTCCCGACGCGCCCCGTCCCGAGCTCCTCGCGGCGGACGCTCTGAAGGATATAACCCCGCTCTCTGACGCCGCACCGCCGAGGTAGTACCGCTCGACTCGACTGTTGTATCGCATTTTCTTTCTCTTTCCAGAAGAAACGTGAACTTGGCCGGAGCTGCTGTTGCGAGCCCCGCCGTGGTTGGAGGAAAGTTTGTCGGCGGAGTGTTCCTGGGCCGTCTGGGTGCAGCTGCAGGGGAGTCGGGGTTGTTAACAGGTTCCTTGTTCGCGCTGTGGCTCAAAGTACAGCGAGGTTACAGCAGAGTTCATTATCTGGGAACTGAAATATGGGCCTGAAACTCTCAGATCCACCCTGTTTACTGGCTGACATGGAAAATAAAACAGCACAAGCTCAGAATTTTATTCTTACAGAGTGGTTTTACATGTTCAGCTACTTTAGAGGAAGTTAAATGTATATCCATATATATAAGATTTGTTGAATTTGGACAAACTTCACCACCTCATGACTAGATGCACAGCTGCCAGTGAGATCCCAATCTCCCCATAATAACCAACTTCCTTCATAATGTTCTTGTAAATTCATTAGATGGCTGCCTGTGAGAGGGTTATTGTGGAAAACAACCAACCGACTGGGACCAGCTCAGTTTGAATATATTCAGTGTGTGTCACTGTGTTCAAACATTAACCCAGACCTTGTATGCATGTGTGTGTGTGTGTGTGTGTGTGTGTGTGTGTGTGCGTGTGCGTGCGTGCGTGCGTGTGTGTGTTTCTTTCAGAAAGTGTGCTGGGAGCCAGATCAACCCACCTGGAAATTCAAGACAGGACACATGTACGAACATATGCATTCAGGGATACGCTCAGACTTCAGGGCATGCGTTTGTAGTGAACGTGTTTATTATGTACGTCCTTGCTCCCAGCAGAGCTGCTGCTGCTGCTGCTGCTGCTGGTGGTGGGGCGTGTTCAAATCTGAAAATGTTTAACATTCTTATCATTCAGCTGCTTTCGAAAGGCAGAGAGAGAGAGATAGAGAGAGACATGTTCAGACCCAGGCCAAATAATAAGAGATTACGTACAGTCAGTCACTCCTTTGCATTCACAGTGCATTACTCACTCCAGGCTGATGCTGCATCCAGCAGCATGTATTACTCACAGTGCAGTGTCATCCCCAGGGAGGCGCTTTCATTGGTAGGGCAGCAGCTTGGAAACATCTGACACTCTCTTGTGGTTGTGTGTGTGTGTGTGTGTGTGTGTATGTGTGTCCAGGTCCCCTCTCGGCGGCGAGGCGAGGGCGGCGTGTTTGTCTTGAGAGGGAGGCAGGGGTTACCGTGGTAACAGACATGCCAAAGCCGGACCTGCTCTGCCTCGTTCAGCTGCTGGACGGCACCATCGAGACCTTCAGAGTCAGCGTACGTAACACGTGGAAAACGGGCGCTTACGCGGTGCTCTGATCCGCCGCGCTGGCACACTCTTCTTCTCTCCTTTTTTTTTTTTTTTCCAACTAATAGTCCACCTCTTCCCCCTGTTTGAAGGACGCACTCCTCCCCTGCAGCTTGCAGAAGCTTATCACACTTTAGAGTAGGGCGGGGGATATGGGCTTTGATTTTTATCACAAAATTTAAGGGTGAAGTTGTGATAATGACAAAAATGATGATTTAATACTTTTTCTAGGTAACTGTATGGCAATGAAGCCTTCACAAACACAAATCCTGTTCTTGAAAATCATAAACATTTAAACATGTTTCAAATTTTATATTGTTTGATGCTCTTCTGGAACACACAGTAGAGAAAAGTTGTCTTTTTAAACGTCATTAATTAGGACTAATCAAGAAAACAATAAATCTAAATTCATATTGTGATCATTTTTTCATAATAAACGATACATTAAATGCCCACCTGTACTTTAGAGCCATCTAATTGGCAGAATTTGCAGCATTGCCTCTTTAAGACGACCTCTTTCCATCATCCTTATCTGCTCTAACCGGCCACGTTATTAGGTAGATCCTACTTGGATCTGTTCCCTGCTGCGTTTTTCCTTTGTGGTACAGATTCATCAAGGCATCAGAAATTGTGCTCAAGCATTTTTCTCCATATTGATACAAGAGCATCTTGCAATTTCCACAGACTGATCATCTCCACATCCCTTTTCAAATTCTTCGTTCCACAACATCCCAAAGGCGATGCAGTGAGTACAGCAAACTCATAGTCTTGCTCTGAGAAGTTGTTTGAGATTAGGCCTGCTGCGATCAAGTTTGCTGGATGATAAATTGTCCCACAAGTTATTGCGATAAACAATAACATTCTTGTTCTGAGGCCATTTAAAGAAATATGATGGTAATGGCATAATAATGCAAGAATAGTCTCTCAATGATCAATAAGCTTTAATTTCTAATAAACATTTAACACTGGAACTGGAATATGTTAGCATTCAAAATAAATAAAACGCCTGAAACAGCAAATAAAAATTAATTATAAAGTCTTCTAGCTTTGACTGGTGCATCACACGGAAGCATTTTTTCATTTTTGGTAGAAGGACGAGAGAAAAACAATCATTCAAATTATTGAACTTATTAGATTTATCGTGTCACTAATTGGTTTATTGCTCATTGCGACCGGCGTATTTGAGATGAGCTGAGGTTTATGACACGTTGCATTAGAAGATGTGTACACTGTGATCATAAAGGGCCTGAAACGTCACTGAGGCAGCATGTAGTGTTTGAATAATGACCAACATACTGAGCCTGAATCCTTGATACGAGGCACAATGGAGCTATACGTTTATGTTTTTTCTGCACATTACCATCTGAACTTTCAACTTGTCGTTATTCCAGTTTATTGTTATGTAATTGTGGGGATTCAGCTTGAATCTCAGCCTCAGTTTCCTCTAATTGGCTGAAAGAAATGGCACCTGGTGTGGAGCTCGCTGCTTCCTTCAGGAGACGATGTTCCTCATAACTTGATTTTAATAAGTGATTAATTGGATTTCTGCCATTTGCAGCCAGGCTGCTCTTTCTCCTCTGACCTCTTTGAATATTTTTTCTGTAATCCCAGTAGAGCATTGGTGTCGAACTCATTTTCATTTTGGGCTTTGCCAAAAATCTGAATGTTCTTAAAGGGCCGGTTGTTCCAGAATATATTGATTAAACCCGTGAAATTGGTAAAATATCAATAAATAGCTGTTTCAGCATTCAATAAGTGTAATATTTTCACACTGATTTTCACACTGATTTTCACACTGATCAATCCATTCCGGAACTTTGTGATTGTTTTTGTGGGTTTTTTGCAATCAAAACAACATTTTATGGTGATAATATTGAATTATTATGACATTTGTGCTGACATATTAAATTAGACTTTTTATTCATCGCTGTATCAGTCACAGATATAACTTGACATCAAGTAAGGCTGAGCCAGCAGTCACTTAAATCCAAAGTTTTTGGCCAATTTTAAAAAAAATGTCAGTAAAATCTGAAAATTGTGGGGATTTGTTGATTTTATGTGAATTCTGCAGATTTGTGATAAACTTTAGGGACTTATTGATGTAATTTGGTGTCTGGAGGGCCACATAAAAAGCTGCAGCGTGCCAGATTTGGCCCCCGGACCTTTAGTTTGACACATGTGCAGTAGATGGTTGGCCCTGAAAATCCCAGCAGTTTCTGCTGTGCTGAAAAGCAGTTGAAACGCAGCTGCTTGTTTCAGAAACTGCTGTGCTTTTCAGCAGTTTCTGAAAAACACAGATCTTCTGGCACCAACTCTTAAATCTCCTCCTGTTCTGACGCTCAATCCAAGGTTCAGCACCAAGTTTAATACACTGAGCTGCTGCCGTGTGATTGACTGATTCATTATTTGTGTGACTAAGCAGATGAACATGTGCAACTAATGAAGTGGTAACTACAAGAGCAAGCTTTGTAGGGGTGCAGAGTATTAGGCAAGCATGCAGTGATAGTGGTATCTGTTGTGATAACTATATAATTGTCAGAGAATAAATGCATCACACTTGAGACCCAGCTGCTCACTTAGAGTACTTACTTATAATATGGTTATAAAGTGTGAGAAGGACCTAAATCTCCATATTTTGTTCCTTTTCGTAAAGAAAACAGGATGCAGAGGATTCTGTTGCTACATAAAAGGGAGTTTGTTGTGTTTTCTGCAGTCAGAATATTGTGTTTGCTGTATTTTACACTGAACAAGGTCACCCTGACATGAGAGTCTTCTTCCTGTAACAGAGTCTGAGGAAAGACAAGATGTGGCTGTAGATGAGCTGTGGGTTATCTCTCAGAGCAATGAATGAAACAGCTATTACAGTAAAGCAACTTGCTCCTTATGGCCATTTGGAAATCATATTTCAACCTGGATGTGTGTCATCTACTTACTTCCTTTTGTTCTCTAAATGTAATATTTGTGTCAATTTATATGAGTTCAGTCTTCATTCAACTTCTCTGTGTGTTTATGCTGCATCAGATCCCTGTGAATCTCACTACACAATTCAGTACGAAGAGTTTGAATAAAAAATGAATTAAAAAATTGAGATAAATTCAAGATAACTAAACTGCAGGTTCACTTTAGTTCTTTTTAATGCCAATTGATTAAAAGAAAATCGACCAGCTGAGACGTAGACTGACAGCAAAGGGGAGAGTCTAAATTAAGGGCTGGTGTGTCCCTTCATTTTTCTTTTTTCTAAAACCTTAACAACAGAAATGACATGAACATTCTTTAGTAAATAAATACTCCACAGTTTGTGTTTGGGCACCGTTTGCTTGTTTATTTCAAACATATTCACATTCATACAGGAGGTAGAGAAAATTATAAACTAATTTGATCCTTTTATTTGCAGCTTTCTTTGCACATCATCAATATAAACAGAAAAGCAGCATTTCTTTTGCAAGAAGAAGCATAAAATATGCAAACACAGTTTCCTTCAATCAACAGAAAAGCAAGGTCAGACTAAGAAACTCATCAATAAATGATGTTTCATCCAAATTTCCTGGTTTCTTTCAAATAAGGACAGCAAAACAAAAGAGCTGTTGGTGAATGTTACTTAGCAGATGAAAAATAGTCTGAATAGTAAAGGTTGCTGATCAAAAACACAGGAGTTAGTCAGAAATAAAAACGGACCCTGCTTCACGTATCATTTCCGTCTCAAATTATTATTATTACCAACCCTAACTTAAACCCAACTTTAAGCTTCCTGTAAGCAGTCATAAGTTGGAGAACTTGTTTTTCTGAAGAGAAAGCATGATGCTTAAACCAGAAGGGTTTTCAGGCTGTGGGGCCTCAGAGAGGTGTTAACAGGGTTCAGATCACTGAACAGCAACAGTGCAGTTTACACCATTGTGCAAGCATCTTGAGTCACTCCTCACTTCTTCATGTTTCTCCCCAGAAGCCAGACTTTCTTGCTTTCTGAAGGTCTTAGAAGGTTTTTCTCTTGACTGCTTTATTTATTGCAGTGCCTCACCATTTCTAAGTATTTTCTTTCAATTTTTTTCCAGCTAAGCTGTTTAAATTTTGCTATTTTATTCATTTTACCAACTAAACATAAGAAATGAGCCAGAATTGTGACTACACATGAGGTAAAACTAGCCTGTGAACCAGACTGGACCTTCACCTATAAACCAAAGTTTAAAATCTAGGAGAAAATTGTATCTCAGAGGAATACAAATACACACCACAGATTTCAGATCTTAATTAAAATACTTAAAACCATGTAACAGTTTCCTTTCACGTTGAATTCATGCACTACGTTTTGTTGGTTTGTCACATAAAATCCTAGTAAATTAATTAAATGTTGTGTTTTCAATTATACAAAATGTGATAAGTTTGAAGTTTGTATATAAACTCCTTGGCAGAAAACTCTCCCTTATTGTTGTGAAGAACCTGCAGAACTTCAGTCTAACATTTTATTAGCGTGCACAAAATGAGCAGGAAGTCTGGCTGACTTTTGATGCCAGTTTGCTATTTCCATCTTTCAGAAGCAGGATGAAGGCTTGGTTCTGTTGGACCTGGTATTCAACCACCTGGGCCTGCAGGAGAAGCAGCTCTTCAGTCTTCAGATCAGAGAGTCGAACACCGCCATCGCCTCCATCACAGCCAACACGTTTTCTCCTGTGAGCTCACACTTCATCTGCCGCACATTTACTCTAAGTTTGTAATGTGTTTCTCCGGCTGGTTGCAGTTGACGATAACCGTGGGGCGTGTTGACATAAATGTTATTTGTTATAGCCTGGCATAGCTATTATGGCTGATGAATGTTTTCCTTCTTGCAGCGATGGTTAGAGCCAGAGAAGCCATTCAAGAAGCAGATAAAAGGTATCTTGTTTTTTGGTGAAAGTTCTGTAATATCCACATTTAAATGCCAAAACAAGAAGGAGTTCAGCAGAAAACAGGGTTGTAGTTGTGGTTAAATGTAGACACAGGCCTGTTTTTAAAAAATTTAATCATTTCTGCAGGTCTTGCCTCCCCCTTTTATCTGAACTTCAGAGTGCGGTTCTTCATCTCTGATCCCAACTCTCTGCAGCATGAGCAGACCAGGTCAGTACTTCTCTATCATGTCACTGTGAACTGATTGTTGTTAACATTTTATATTAACAACATTTATATTCCCCACGAGATGTTCACATCTCGATGGGGAACTTCCAAGCTTCTCATAAATATAACTGATTTAATAATTGTTGAAATTGCTGAAGCTTCAGTATTTAGCAAGTAAACCTTGTCAGCTGCGCTTGAGCAATGAGTATTCAGGTTTTTGGTACTCTGAATAGTCAAAGTATGAATGTTTCCTTTTAAAAGTTGAACATTTCTTCAAATTTTAAAATTTAAAACAGTAAAAACTGGTATGACAGATGGCTTTTTCTAAATTTTGCCCATTCTTCCGGAACAAGATTTAAATTTCTGTCAGATTAGATGTTTGAGTCGCCATCCATTCTAATTTTGGTGTTTTTCCATGTAGGGTGTGTCGTTTTCCTCCTGAATTTGCAGGTTTATTTAGCTGAATTCACTCTTTCTTATGTTAGTGAATTGTTCCCTTTGCCTCCAGCTCTTACACCAGCCTGAGGCATTACTGAAAAACTCTGATTGTGGGTTTATGAAGTTCAGACATTTTTTTAAAAACATATCTGCACATTTTTATTCCTACGTCATGCTTCAATTTAAAGGGTCCGCTAGAAAAGCCTGCAATAGGCTTTGCTTTCTGATTTGTTTGAGATTATACACTAAATGTTTCTTTATGAAGCCTTGAAATACTGCTTTTTTTTTTTCCAGCTTCGTTGTTTCACACCTTTTCTGTTCACTGTTTTCCAGATTTATGTCTCAACTTCTGTTTTTGGCTTTTCATATTCTAAAGCGTTTTGTTTTTCTTTGTGAGCATCAGTTTTTATCCTCCGATTGTTGGACAGCTGCATCATTTTATGGTTTGCCAAAGCTGTGCAAACCATACTCCTAAGAAGCTAATCAGGCCGTTTGATGAATTTTAATTAAAATGCTTGGATCACCAGGGCAATGGCATAAAATAAAGTGCCACTTTAAAATTAAGAGAAAAGAATGAATATTTGGGTCATATTTTACCATTTTATTGACTTATGGCACATTTCCAATTCAGGATTTTTCCCCACAAATCAGGATTGTTTTCTGGACACTCATTTAAGGATGAAAAACTGGGTTTCTATGATCTAGAGGTTTTATTCTACTCTGATTTTTTGGGTGGTGTGAAAACTAACTCTAATTAAGAAAATAGTTTTTGAACTTTTCTTAGTGTCTGCAATGGGAAAATATGCATCAAACTGGAGAATAAGGGTTGGAGTGCTGAGACTTTATTTTGTTTTGTTGGGAACAAAAATACCCTGACTGTTTTGTTGACAAACTACTCCCATTGTAATTCTTGTTGTAATTGAGGCGTTTTATCCGAGCCACAAACAATTTTTCCCTGGAGATATTAAAAGTCTGTAGAAAACATTCCTCGCTTTCTGTCAATACTTGTCTAAACATTTCAGTGTGGTTGTTCTCTGAAGGCTGAGCTGCTGGTGTGTCTAACACCAGCATGTGAAAGAGAGGCTTTTTCAGGTTATGGAAAGCAGGCGTGGGTTGATAAAGTTCCTCTTTTGTTGTCCCTGCAGGCACCTGTACTTCCTCCAGATCAGGAGCGACATCAGGGAAGGACGGTCAGTTGTCCCGCTTCACATTGAGCGCCTCCTCCCTTCTTCCTCCTCCTCCTCGGCGCTCAGTATTTGTTTAGCTGTGGAGCATGCGATGTGTAATCACGGTGTCTGATTGCAGGTTGCGGTCCCCGCTGAGTGCAGCTGTAGTGCTGGCTTCTTACGCTGTGCAGTGTGAGTCCTGTCTCTCCTCTAAAAGAGAAAATAAAATGATTAATGAGGCAATGATAGCTGCCTTAGTAATTACTCCTGGGAGGCTACTCTCTGCGCTTTTATTTAGCAGCTTTCTTACACTAGCGAGACGTTGGGGTACACAGGCGTGTGCAGGTGGGGTTTTATGTCTCCCTGTCGGCGCTCAGTGTTTGTTTCCATCACCTGCAGCGGAGATGGGGGATCACTGTCCGTCCAGACAGCCGGGGTACCTCTCAAAATGCCACTTCATTCCCGAACAGGATGAAGACTTTGTGTCTAAAGTGGAAGACCTGCATCCGCAGCACAAGTGAGTTTGGTGCTTGTAGTTGAAACGAACGGCATGTTTGTTGCACGATTCCTGTCGTATGTGACTGTGTGTGTGCTCCTAGGGGGCTTAAGCAGAGCGAGGCGGAGCTGTGTTTTCTCAACACTGCACGGACGCTGGAGCTGTACGGAGTGGAGCTGCATGCTGCCACAGTAATGCCATTACTTTAAATATGCTGTAGCTTAGAAAGCGCACCTTCTTGTTTTCTAAAGTTAATCCACAAGAGGAGGGTTTTCCTATTTGTTGAGGATTTATCGCCAAAGCTCCACCAATTCAACAAAAGCTTTTGGTTTATCATCCAAGAACTTTGGCACTTAAATGGAAACTCCTTGAATTAGTCAACAGCAATTAAAACTGAAGTTAAAGCAATTTTTAATCTCAATATGACCCATCCTTCTGTCTATCAGGACACCAACGATACACCTCTAATGGTGGGTTTGGCCTCCAGTGGTGTTGCAATGTTCTGCAATATGATTTGCTCCAGTTTCTTCCCCTGGTGAGTAACGCCGCCGCTCAACATTCAGCTTGTTTTTGCATTTCCTTCAAGTAAATTTGACGCTTTCATGCAGGGGGAACATCATCAAGATATCTTATAAGAGGAGACGCTTCATTGTGCACCTAAAACGTAAACATGTGAGTCTCTGGCTTCATGAAAACATTTCTGCTGATTAGAGTGAATGGAGTTGTTTCTATGTGTTAAAAATTCATTGTTCATGTGGCGAAAATGGAGTAAAATTGAGTTTTTGGTTTCTACACAGTTTGTTTAAAGTTCTGACTCATTTCAGGTCTAAATAAGTTTGAAAAATTACAAAGATTGACAAATATTTGTATTTATAGACATTATTCCCCAACATGTATGCATAAAGATCTGTCTGTCTGCCAGACATCCATCTTTTTGTCCACTTATCCATCCATTTAGTCATTCATTTATTCATTTGTACATTATAGAGCTGCCGCTAACAAATATTCTAGTCATTGATTATTCTGATGTTTAACCTGATAAAAAATTGGCACATTTTACAAATTTTTTATTTCACCACATAAGTTTTTTTTTAAACAATATCAGGAATTTATTGAAAGATAAAAATAAATAATTTAATTCTTTTGTTAAACAAGAAAATAAACATTTAATTGCTTAAAATTGCATTAATATGACATTCCTCTGCATTTCAACCAAGTGAAGTTAATACTGTGACACTTGAGGAGTTTTGGCTTGGATATATTATATCTTGAATGCAATATGTTTATTTACTTTTGTACTGTTTGCCACTGCTGTGCATAAGTTATTTCTCAAGAAAATGTCCTTTTTTTGAGTCTGAAAAACATGTTGAACCATGTTGTCTTTTATTTGCAGCAAACTTATCTTCTGTTGCAAAACAGAGACGATGTGAAAAGACCCTTAACTCTTTGAGTTGCAGGGGGAAACCCAAGACTGTGAGGTGTCTCTAAACCTGCCCTGCCCCAAGACGTGTAAGAACTTATGGCGGTCCTGTGTGGATCACCACTCCTTCTTCTCCTCCAGCCGGACTGCCAAGAGCTCCAAATACAGCAACAGCACAGTTAAGGGCTACAAGCAGCTCATAACGCAGCACCTGGGCCTGAGCAAAACTGAGGAGTGAGCTTTTGATTTATCCCACATATTTGCTTGTTTTTTACTTGAAATCTGCTGCTTTCTGAACATTTGACTCTGTCATGGCAGAGGTCCGGTGTACCAGAAGGTCGTAGGGGGGATGGTGTGGAACCCGGTTCTGCGGAGGTCTATTTCGTCAGAGCATCTCGAGACCAAGAGTCTTCCCTCCAGATCGCCGCCATCAACCCCCAACTGGTAAAACTGCTGCTATTAACTGCAGCAAAGATTTTCTCTGAAATAAAAAGATCGGAAGCTACACATCCGATATATTGGTGCGGCAGGAGAAGTCCCCGAGTTCGCCATGAAATCAGAAAGCCCCGTCCGTCATCGGTGGAGCTCAGCACGGACCTGAAAGACATGTCGGAGGGGGAGGACGTCTTCTACACGTACAGGGCCTCCGTGGGCAGCAGCAAGGACAGCGAAGGAGACGCATCGCCTCAGCAGTCAGTACCACAGGAGCCCATGTTCCTGTGTTCACGTCTTTATTGGGATTTTATGTCCTAGACTCCACAAGCTAGGGATGTTTCTACTGATTGCCGATCACCGATCTTTAAAAAGCCTGTCCTGCCAATTCCGGATCTGGCTGATAGCAATTTTTGTTTGTCTGAAATGGTGCTGAATGTCACAAGAAAGTTGTTGAGTTGGCAACAGTGAGGTGACTATTGCTTAAATGTGGAGACATTACCTGGTTGCAGAGATTGATGAGATCCACGGATAAGACTGGCTTCACATTTCAGTATCGGCCGCTAGCCGATCCCCCAAAATGAAGGAAATCGGTTGGTTTCTATTCATTTCTAAATGAAAATATAAGAAAAGGCAGATTTACATTTGTTTTCACTCTTCTGTTCATCATTACCGTTAAATAAATTGGTCAAAGCGACCTATCACTGCAGAATTCAGTTCATTAGTAAACGGCAGTCCACCATTACGTCATTTAATATTTATATGAATATTGCACAACTTTCCGCTGAAGATGTAAGAGAACATTAGAGAACAAACAGCAATATGAAAACCAAGGAATGCAGCAGACATGGTAAAGAAGTTGCTCTGGTCAGATCAGATCAACTAAAGTTTATTAATCTATGTACAAAATTTGTTTGATGGAAAAATTGCGCCCTGAACTCACCGTCCCCCACTGAAAAACATGGTGCTGGCAGCATCATGCTGTGGGGATGCTTTTGTTCTACAGAGGAAGTGAAGCTGGTCAGATACACAAACTTATTTAGTATTTTTTTAAAAACATATATCCAGCTTAGTTCCTTGGATTGTACACTATTTTTGACAACTGTGCAGTATTTTATGCTCCAGTCCTTTCTATACAGTATGTTTTTAGTCTTGATTTTTATTTATTTTTAATGCTTTCTATGAACCTACATGCCTATTCTGAATAGCTGGGATCATGTGTTTCTAATGGCCCAGTCAAAGTTCAGGTGAAATTCTGTTGAGAATTTGTTGAAAAATAGAGATATTGCCATTCACAGATGCCTTCAATCTGACTGATCCTGGGTTATTTTATAAAAAAAAAAAAAATTGTAGAGACAGACTCCTAAAGACTAGCAGCAGGAACTGCTCACTATTGTTTTCTCCAAATTTTATGAGTGAAATATTTTGAAAACCATGTTTTATTTTCCTTTATGTTCACATTTATGCTCTGTTTAGTGTCAATCTATAACATAAAATAACAATGAAATACATCGAGGCTCGGGACTGAAGCGTAAGAAATTGTTCAGGGGATTTGTGTTTTTTTCAGAGCTCTGAAGTTAAAATCAGCTGACCTGTAATGAACCATGGAGCCACAGAGTCATTTTTAATATTTTATGTCTTCCAGCTTTTTTGGTGCAGGATTTGGTGAAGACAGCACTGGGGAAGAAGACAGCCCGTTCCACAGCAATGAGGTTTTTCTTTTTCACCTCAGCACTTTTTGGTTACTGCGTTTCCATTCACTCTCTGCACATTCATGACAAGTTCTTCGTGCAGGATGCTCTTGGTGACGGCGACCGGATGATGATATACATCACTCCAGACCACGAGGGGAAATTTGGCTTTAATGTAAAAGTATGTCTCTGTCCTACTGGCACATTGCATATAATTTTTTTTATGATTATTTGTTCCTCTGATGAAATTGTTGAACTTCTGTCAGGGAGGAGTGGATCAGAAGATGCCTCTGTCTATATCTCACGTTAAACCGGACTCCCCGGTAAGGACAGACTGAAATAATTATGTTTTTCAAGCTTCGTTTAAAAAACTGTGGACAAATGGTAGCATGTGGTTTTTATTTCAGGTTTTATTATATATATTTTTGCAAAAACACTAGAAGACAAGAGATTGTTTTGGAAAGTCTTTAAAGTTTCCTCTTCTTATGGATTGGAAAAAGTTATGAAACAAATCTCATCTCACTCAGATAGATTGTGTCCAACTGGAGGAAATTCAAGGCCATTGTTGCTCTCCTGAGGAGTCCCTGGCCAGCAAAGATCACTGCTGTGCAATTTGCTGCAAGGTCAAAGAATAATCCAGGATTATGTCTAAGAAATTAAAGAGCTCTCTCACATTCTGTGGTGTAAATGTTTGAGTCTACAATCAGCAAAACGCTGAACAGCGTTGCGTGTGAAAGTGGTAAAAGACAAAAAGCAACGGTGCTATGGGGGAATAATGTTTCTCTTTCTTAGCTTATTTGTTCTTTTTGAGGAAAATTACGCCTCTAAAGTCACAACTTCTTGTTTGCTGCTTTAAGTTTGATTTAAAGCTTGTGTGTCGTTTCTTTCAGGCTGGTCGATCTGAACCCAGACTGCAGGAGGGCGACCTGGTCCTGCTCATCAACGGTCGGGACATTTCCGAACACACACACGACCAGGTCGTCATGTACATCCGAGCCAGCCGAGAGTCGCACTCCAGGCAGCTGGCTCTGCTCATACGACGTAAAGGTGTGTACCTGTGAGAGGAAAGTGCTGAGACGGAAAGAGAAATGCAAATGACTGCTGCTCACAGCCTTCGACTGTCCTCGTGATCCAGGTTCGGGCCGGGTCATGCCTCAGGTGCAGCTGCCGCTCGCTGCCGTCTCGCTCACCGTCCCACCACAGGAAAACAAGCCTCAGTCACCGGGTCAGCAGGAGCAGGTCACCACGTTGGAGGAATCCATGGAGCAGCTAGAGAGAGGGATACAGTCTAACACGCTGTCCTTCCATTTTGAGGTATTTTGTTTGTCATATAGAAGGGTTTTAAGTACAGATGCTCTGGTTGCATTAATTGTGTCTAAGATCTACATCTCATCTCCTTATATTCTTACGTATTAAGACCTGTAATTCTTTCTTGAACATGTTAAGATATGTCTCTGGACTACAAAACATGTTGGTCACATTTTTTGCACAAAATCGTTTTTAAATTATCTCAGTCTGGTCAGTTCTGCCTATTTTGAGCTCCTTTTAGGGCATCTTGTCACTTTAAATCCAAATAAGCTGCTGGACGCTTTTCCTATCTCAGCATTTACACTCACGCATGAAAAAGGCTGCAAACATATGCAGAAGTATGTGCCGTACATCTTTGAAAAGCAAAAGCAGAGATTCCTGCACAACCAGCAAGAATGCAGCAAGCTGTTTCCAAATATTCATTCAACAGCAGCAGATATTGAACAGCACATGCAACGAACGGTAAAATCAACTGATTTGGTTACGGCGCACTGCCCATCAGTTGTAATTTTCCACACACCAAAAATCATTAACTTTTTGCCAAAAAATGCTTGGGTGTTTTGTTTTAAACATTTTTACACACAAATAGAAGTTAAGAAAAGGTTCAAAAAGTGAATTTCTAAAGGCAGCATGTTTCTTGCTCAAAAGAACTAAAACGAGGGACCTTTACTTTTATCACTCTTAAACTCTTCCAGTTATCTGATGAAAGGCTTGCTCTCTCTCAGCCATCATGTCTACAGTCTCGATATATCGTATACAAGCCTATTTTTAGATCGCTTCTTACATTTCTGGGCTTAATCTGACTTCATTTTGAACATCTCAAGCATGTGAGGGCCAATCAAACAAAAAATCAGCTGATTTCTCTGAGCATCTCTACTTTTAAATGCTGCTTTTAGGACAGATGTTGGCCCTAATCTTCAGCTGGATCCGGTTCATAAAAGCAGCGATGACCTTACATTTTTCTAATTCCTGTGTGTATGTGCGTTCGTGTGTATTTGCATGCATGTTTGTGTGTGTTTGCATGCTTGTAATTTCTAGAGTTTATACAAGAGGAAGCCTGGTCTGCCCCTAAGCTGTGGACGGCAACTCGAGAACCAGGAAAAGAACCGCTACAGAGACGTTTTGCCTTGTAAGTGCTCCTCGCTGTGCCTGCATGCCTGTTTGCTTTCACTCGTCCCCTGCTGTGCCAGGATCCCGCATGTTAGGCTTTGAGAAATTAAATTTTGACAGCTCTGTTCTGACCCTCACCAGCTGCTGCCCTTCTCTGCTTTCAGACGACGACACCCGAGTGGTGCTGCTGGGGAAGGAAGACTACATCAACGCCAGCCACATCACGGTGAACATCACTCACCTGAAACTGCCTCCCGTTCTCTGTGTCTCTTTTAGTGTAAACTCATCCTGTTCATCTTGTGTGTGTGTGCGCGTGTGTCTCTTAGGTGGCACCCCCTGAGTCTGGAGTGTGTTTACGTTACATTGCAGCTCAAGGTCCTCTTCCACAGACCTGCACTCACTTTTGGCAAACTGTATGGGAGCAGCAGACGCACACCATCATCATGCTTACAACTCTGACAGAGAGGGGACGGGTACAACATGCTTTGTTTTTGTTTTCATGAGCCACCGTTTTGCAGAAGCATCTTAAAATCACACAACTGAGTATCAGCGACGCATTAACATAGCAATTAGTGCAGCACAACCGGCAAATTATTACATGCTGTGTCAGGTTTAATTTTGATTACAGGGATTAGAGGGGGTTCGGTGGTGATGTTTGCACACAGCAGTGATCCGATGGCTCAGTTGTGAGTAATTACAGGGTTTCACGCTGTAAAGAATGGCTGAACGTGAGCGTGAGCCAGATGCCAATGAGATAAATAATCCGACGCAGAGGAAGAACAAGAGCGTGACTCCGGCCCGGCTTTCTTGTTGCTTAGAAACCAGATGTTCTCATTAATCGATCATTGTGTCTGGATCTCAAGTGTCTGGGAGTTTCCCCTCACTGCATGCACCTACGTACATACGCGTCGACGCTAAGCTCTCCACCTGTTGAATTGCTTTTGTCTGCTGGCCGCCCTGTGGATCAGAGCAAACTGTCTGAATAGGAGCTTGATTTCCGTAGACAGAGGAAATCTGCTCCGCAGCAAACTGTTTCCTGACCCGTTACTCATGTCCAGAGTTGGACAGTAACTGGTTATATTTACTCACTTACATTTTCTTCTGTGCTGTACTTTTCACTTTTACTTGAGTAATTTTGTTATGAAGTATCGCTGGTCTTATGCGAGTAAAATATCTGGATGCTTTACACACTCTGAGTAACTTCATTTCATGAAGAACAAGTTTGTTTTTACCAAAAACCGGCTGACGAAACGTGCTGGAGTTCCACTTGGGTTGCTAGGTGACGAGCCGAACTCGGGTAGGGTTGCTAAGTAACAGCACCGTGTTGCCTAACAATCAGAAGGTTTTCGAAAAGGTAAAAAACATTGACTTATTCCCCAAAATATGGCAATAATCGATTATTATTGAAAGCTTAGGCTCTTTTTCTTTTTTAAGAAACAATTGAGACTAAAATGGAAAAATAAAAATGTACAAAATGTGATTTTTATTTTCTCCCTCTTTGAAGTTTTATACGTTTTATATTGAAAGAAATTGATTCAGGAAATAAAATATATCACTTGATATTATTATTTTGTAATTACTTATATTATTTTTATTTTCTTTCTTAAAACACCAACATTTTTTCAGAACTTCATATTTTGGTCTATCTGGTCAATAATTATTAAATATTAATTGACTGATTTTTGATCAGTTGTTGATACTTGAATATCTTTTTTACTCTCACTTGACTAATTTCTCAGGTGCATTCACTTTTCTCTTGAAAGAAAAATAATGTTGATGAAATAGTACTGCTCTTACTTGAGTAAATTCTTGTGGCCACTCACGCCAGGACTAACGCAGTACGCTGGTGATGTCATACGTGTTGCAGACCAAGTGCCACCAGTACTGGCCGCATCCGCCGGACGTGAAGGACTACGGCCACTTGTCGGTGAAGTGTCACTCAGAGGAGTGCAACCTGGCGTACGTGACGAGGCAGTTCACTCTGAGGCACAAAAAGGTAAACCTGATGATATAACTGAGCAGCTGCGCTCCCTCCTGACGGTTTTTATACCTCTTGATTCATCCGGGGAGAATATTTTAAAGCCTGTTTGCCTGAAGGGAAGTTAAGATGTAGAGCAATGTTTTTCACTTTATAGGTCAAATTATAAACTGAAAATTTTCTGACAAATAATCGATGAAGTGCCAGCGCTGAGTGAGAGCAATTTGGATGAGTTTTTTTTTCTTTCCTTCCCTTGAGGCTTTTTTGTATGAATAATCAATGAAACAGTTTTCAGCTGCAGCCCTGGTTGCACACCTGCCTTCATGGCCATGCACATTTTTCCTTGGTATGTTACAGTGGCGTGTAGCATGTTCACTCCATATGTCGCATAACAAAGCTCGCTGCGGCCTCTCCTGGCACGCTGTCATTCCGTGTGGGTGTTTTTGCCTGTCCGTTGTTCGCGTGTTCACCTAATTTTCCACCCCTCTGCCTGCTTGTGTGTGGAATCGGGCAGGTCTTTTTGTGGGAACGATGTCTGTCTGATTGTATCAGGATAGATGATCAGATTAAAGGTGCTAGCTTCCACATCAGCCTCAATGCCGAACAGGTAAATAAACAGATTACACCCAAGGAGGCATGAAATATGAACATGCACACACATGGATACACAGATACCGCTGTGTGGGTCCATCTGCTCCTCTGGCGGAGCGAATTAATCCCTGCATGGAATCACAGACCACATGCCTATTAAAAACACCAAAGTCAGCCGTTTTCCTTCCCAGTCTTCCTCTGTTTTTCGCTGCGGTCTTTCCCTCTATCCTCTGTTTACATTGCTTCCTAATCTGACTTACTGATCACATGATTGTTGACCTGGACTGTTTCCGCCTCACTGGGGTGACGTTTTCCAAAGGTTACTCATTCATCATGCAAGATTATTGTCACGCAATATTCTAATTGTCTTTTATTTGTATTTTTATTGTAACACCCAGTTAGTTGAAGAGTTGTCAGTCACACATCTCCAGTACGTGGCGTGGCCGGACCACGGCGTACCCGACGACCCCTCGGACTTCCTGCTCTTCATCAGCACGGTGAGGGAGAGGAGGAAAGCCACAGAGCCGCTGATGGTACACTGCAGGTAACACACGAGGCTGCAGTTTAGTCAAACTTTCTCCTCTGGCTCTTGTGAACTGAACCCAACGTTTTGCTTTCAATCATCTTCTCAGTGCTGGGGTTGGGCGGACAGGTGTCCTGATCACCATGGAGACGGCGCTGAGCCTCATAGACGCGGGTTGGCCGGTTTTCCCGCTGGACATTGTGAAAACACTAAGAGACCAGCGAGCCATGATGGTTCAGACCACGGTACAGAGATTAAAAACAAAAGATTCGCTTGTTAAATGACAATGTTACTCCTTGGCTCATTAATTTCTCTATTATGCTGCATGATGATCTCCACAAGCTGTCTTGTTTCCTACTGCTTTTTAATGCAGGGTTTATTTAGAGGGAGTCATCAACTCCTATTAAAATACCCTCACAGTAATACAGGTTTTATTTTAATACACCTCCTTGTAAAACTATTCCCACCCCTGGAGCTCTTTCACAGTTTTTCTTGTTACAGCCACAACCTTTAGTGAATTTTATGATTCACCAACAAAAGTAGAGCAGAATTGTGATGTGGAAAGTAAAGATTTTCTCTACTAAATATCTGAAAAGTGTGGCCTGCATTTCTGTTCAGCTCTCTTGAGTAACAATATTTCATTAGCTGAGCCACATTTCAACACCACTAAAGCTGTAAGTCTTTAATTTCTCGAATTCTTCACGATTGGAGGAAAAATAAAATTTTGATTTTATTGTTGCATATTGCATAATTGATGCATGCATTAGACCTTCAAATATTGCATCCATGCAGCTCTTTCTGATTTTAATATTGTGATTTTAATTGTAATTTCATGCACACCTGAATATCGGTTTTCAACTCAGATTCTGTACTGAGGCCTGGACTTTGATTGGACCATTCTAGTATCTCAAAATTATTTCATCTTGACCATTAAATCCCCTTAGTTATTCATAATAATTATTCTGGCTTTCTCTTTGCAGTGCACGGAAACAAATGCATGCCACACGTTTCAGATTAAAGTTAAAGCCAGATATCATCTTATTCCACTTCCCAGTTATTCGCTGCTTTGTGTTGGTTTGTCTCAAGAAACAAAATGTATTGACGGTGGTGGTCGCAAGATTAACATTAAAAAAGATCAGTGTGTGAGTCCATTTTAAGCGAATGCCAATCATTCATATAACTTTTTTCTTTCATTGCTTTCAGTTTATTATGAGTTAGAAAATAATTATTTTAACTTTTGAGTCAGTTAAAACACCCATGCCACAGGAATAGTGAGAGTAAAAATGAATTTCGTCACATTTTCTTTCTGCTCGATTTCTTTGAAAAAACCCTCGTCTTTCTGGTTTCATGAAGAATTCCTGGAAGAGTGAAAATTTAGTTGCATGCTCAAGGTTTTTCTGAAAAACGCCTTCAGCACTTTTCAAAGAAACGGGTTTAAAAAAAAAATCCTGCTTGTCCCTGACTCTCATTAATTCCCAGACTGCTCTGGTATTATGGTGATGATGAGAGGCTTTAGTCGAGTGTTGGAGGCAGGAAGCCAGGCTCTGTAGCACCTCAGTGAGGGACAGGAGAGTGTTACTCATGCTGGGAAGATTGCAGCTTGCTCCTTTTGGCTCGGCAGCTACCACCATCACCCATATTTTGAAAAAGACCCACAGAGCTTCATCCTCTGATGTGCTGATGAAGACTTCCTCAGGTTCTCCCTTACGTTTTTGTGCATCCGTAATAAAAACATGCACAGTCAGAGGACATTTATCTCTGCTTATATTAATAGTGAAAACATGCCATACACTATTATAGAACCCATTAAAAAAAGATAAATGTATGCCTTTTTGTCAGTTTCATAATATCCCACTAAAGTAATCTTGTGAGCCTCTAATGGCGAGATTTTCAGAATTTGTTTTTCTGCCTTTACAGGCAGTGGTGTCAAAATAAACTTAGACCCAGAGTGCACCAGGTTTTTATTTAAAATATCATGCCATTTCAAAGAGCTCAGGATTTTGTGCCCTCTTACAAAATGCTCATGGTGTTTAAACAACAAACAGGCCCGCAGCATCACAAATCCTCCACCGTGTTTGGCATGTTTGACTATAACCACACCTGGAGTGTTTCATAACTTTCATCCCATCCTGTAAAAGTTCCAGTGGAGGTTGGAACCTATTTACATTTGTGATTCTAGGAAATGATTTTTTTTTATCTCCATTACATCCAGAAAAATTTTCTTTCTTTTTTTGTTTTTTAAACATTCTCTGAAGTTATAAGCTGGTCAGTCCGGGGAAGATTCACTCCTGTCCAATGTTTTGTCTCACTTTAGTTCTCTGGAGCCTGAAAGCCTGAGAAATGACTTTGTAACCTTTTCCAGACAGAAACATTGTAGATTTTGTTTCTAATGTGTTTTTATTTTTTTATGTCTTAAGGTCAAGACATGACGTGTTGCTTTTAAAATCTTGTACCCCATACTTCATGTTGTCGCACAGTGTCCATTTTGGTGATTTCTTTTTTTCGTATGTCAAGACGTAATCAGTGTTGCTAGAACATGTGATTTAATTACAGTTAATTCAGGACATAACAATTGGGCAGTGAAACTATCACAGGGCTGCACAACTGTGTCTGAGAACATTATCAGGTTGTAATTTTTTTATAGAGGAGTTTTTGAAATGCACAAAATGTCTAGTTTGTGGATCCCCTGAAGTGGTGCCAAGTTAAATATCCAAACATCCATCAAATCCATTAAATATTTAGATTTAATGATTTTTCAGATCCACTTTTTCTGCTGTTATTAAACAGTTGGACAAGTTGACATTACATTTGTTAAAGACCCGTTTTGGTCTATTTTTCCATTTCATTATTAATTCCCTTTTAGCACATTTAGGTATTTTCACACACATCAACCAATGTTGAACAACCGAGTTTTTGTGAAGGTTTGCAAATACACCAGGCTTTTATTTGAAGCAAAAGAAAAAAAAAAGAATCAATGATAGATGAGATTTTGTGAGACTTACTGACCATTCTTCCAACTTCTCATATTATGCCGTTTCTTCTTGTTTAGAGTCAGTTCCAGTTCGTGTGTGAAGCCATTCTTCGAGTCTACAAAGAGAAAAAGGAGAAATCCAAAGCACCGTAATCCGGATCGACGACGGGACCAAACCAGACGCTCTGCTCTGCCTCTGTTAACAGGAGGGACTTCTGCAGAGATCCAACAGATTAAACTCTGCCAGGCTTATGGCGCTGGAACACGCACTGGATAATGAGAGTGTAACAAGCTTCAGAGCACAGCTGTCTGCGAGGAGAGGGAGAAACAGAGAGTACGAATATTAAACCTAGTTGGCCTTAGTTTATGCTAAAAGGTACATTAAGCTTATATAGGCTGTGGTCTCCATAGAGACCGATGTAGGACTGACGTGAGCTGCTAATTTCTTTTCAAGAGGCCTTTCAGGAGCGACACTTCGACTTGTTAAACTACATGTGCCTTAGACTGAAGCTTCCCAATCAATGAGTCCATCAACCGTCTGACTTGGCAGAGGCCAAGGCTGTGATGTGTAGTTTATCTCCGACTCCTGAGATGAGGAGCAGCTCTGATTTCAGACGGATGCGGCAAGTGTCAGGTCAAGGAGGGAGCAGAGCTGTTTCGTGACTGCCAGAGGATCACCAGATTTACTGTTCATCACTTTTTAAATTATTCAAACTCTAAATAAAGTGACTGATTTATACAGATGGTTCTGGTTCATCATTTCCTCCATTTGGAAAACGGGAACTCTAACCGAAGAGTGGTGGTGTCCTTATGCGGCATTATGGCAATGAAAGCATCATAAATAAGCTCAAAGTATGAAGATTTGATTAGATATTAAATTACAAGACAAATTTAAAACCTATTATAAAGTGAAATGCTGGTTTTAGAACTGTTGTGTCCTTGTAGCTGCATAATAATCATACCGGTTTGGATTAATTGTACATATTTAAGAGTTTGTGTGTTTTCATGCAATCTTGCTATGGTCATATTTTAGACTGCAGTGTAAAATTAATTGATAATCCTCACCAATGAGTCAATAAATGAATAGATTTTAAATATTCGCTCACTCCCAAGAGTGAGAGAATATTTTCCAGATTGTGAAAAATACTTGTAGAAACTCAGAGACAACTATATGCAGCTGGAAGGTAGCTTGGTTTGTTTGTCTTTTTATGTTTTAATGAAAAATTCACATTTTTGATACCATTTTTACTCTCTGAGTTATAAATATAAGACGAGTTGTAGTACTGACCTTTATATTTTACTTTTCTAAATTATTAAGGAGATTCTAATATACTGCTTATCACCCAAAACATTAATAACCTAATGTTTTTTGCTAAAATAAAAAACAGCTGAAAAATATTTAAATGTCAAGGAAAATTTTAGTTTTTTTATTTTAAGTAAAATTAAACACTGGTGTTATTTTTTATCTTTAGGTCTTTTACAAATATATTACTGACTTGAATTTGATCTATTATCTATTTGTGTGATTCCATTTTCAATTAAAAACAAATACTTTTCATTTATTTATTTTTTACAGATTTTTTTGGACCTCCATACTTGAATATATTTATTCTTGGTCGTTTTATTTTCCAGATGTGAAAATGCAAAAATATATGAATAAAAAAATCCTCACATGCGATCATACTACATGTTAAAAATGCTCCTGAGCTCAGGGGCCTCTCGGACGGGCCCTTGCGGTGCTCCAGGTGAGGTCCCTGGCAGACAGGTGGCGCTGGTTGTTTGGTTCTCTTGGGTCGACCCGTCGGGAGGAAAAGAAGTTTGCTCTGCGCGGTGTTTTTACGCAGGCGCAGTTCATGCTGTTTGTGCAGTTTCGCTGATTGACTTTTACCTGTGAGGTAAACTGGTAGTTTCGGTTCAGCGGCGGGGAAAAGGCGCTGCAGCCGTCGGTTCGGTTCGGTCCAGAGGCGGTGGAGGCTTCCCCGTCGTCCTCCTCCCGTCTGCTCCGGTGTGCGGCTCACGGTCCCCGCTGCGGAGCCTCGGACGGGATTTCTCCGGGATTTTAGAGTCGGTGCGCAACAGCGAGGAGGAGGCAGGTGGACTGACAGGACAGGACGAGGGGAGGAGGAGGAGGAGGAGGAAGAGCAGTCCATCCGTTCACTCCGGACCCAGCGAGTGGAAATCAACTGGTTGGTCTAATCTGGTTCAATTTTATTAGTATGCGGCTGGAGTCCCCCCGCTGCTGAGCGGCAGCCCTGAAGTCTCCTCCAAGCCTGCTGAGTGACTCCTCGCCCCGGGGAGGACGTGGGGAAGAAGGCGGACCGCCGCGGCCGCTGCGAGGGGCGGATTTCACGGACACGCCGCGGACCCGGTCGCACTCCGGATCGGGAAGATGATGGGCTTTCTGCGCCGGACGTTCAGCCGCCGCTCCCGCTTCCAGACGAGAGAGACGGACGAGCGGGACGGAGGAGGGGTGACGGGGAACCCCCTGCTGCTGCCCCACCAGCAGCAGGTCGTCCACGCTCCCGCCGTGGTCAGCGGGGGAGCCACGGTCCACATCCCGGCGGCGGGCACGGCGAGGAGCACCATCACCTGCCGCGTCCTGCTGCTGGACGGCACGGATGTCAGCGTGGATTTACCTGTGAGTGTTTTAGCTCGGTTCGTGTGGGTCAAGGTGGGGCTCGAGGGCATTTTAGGGTCCTTTAAGGTCTTCTTGATGGTCTCCGCGATGGATCGTGGGGTTTTTAATTAGTTAGGCTTGAAATAATTTTGATTGATTTATTAGAGAGTAAGCTGAGATTCGTGAACTTTGAGCGAGAGCTTCCAATAAATAACCCAGTGCATAAAGATGTGATGTTCTCCCTGTTAGTAAGGGAGCCATTCCTAAACAAACCTAAAATATGACCCACTTTAATCACCTGCCTCTCATTCACAACTCTAAATGTAAAAACAACACAGGAAAGTTGTACTTGCTGTTGTCATTTGGTGTCCCTGTCTCTCTCATGGACTTCATTCTTCTTGAATTTTTATTGCACTTTTCAAACCACTTAGGTAGTACAGAAGATGAAAATGTAAACACGGATGTTCTCATTTTCCCCGTTTAAGTTTTCAACATCCATCTGTCACGAAAATGTGATGGATTGGAAAATGTTGGCAGCCTTTTTGTTCTTTCAAAATCTAAACAGTCACCAGTGTTTTTTGTAATGCGAGCCACAATAAACGTGCTAATTGCTAACATGGGATGCTAAAAAAGAAAAAAAAATATCTAATTTTTATTTGAAAATGTCAGTAAGTTGCTTATTTTCAGCGATTGTCCTCATGGATATGTCACCTCTACTTCTACTATGAATAATTAATTATTGCCTATGGCAGGAAGGCTAACAAAATATTTAAGTGCTGTTTTCGTATCTTCTTAAAAAAATTGAATTGGCTAAAAATCTGAATAAATCTGTTGAAACCTGACAAAAATCAGAGATTGGACATTGGCCGCTAAATTCTGATTGGTGGATTTATAGAGCAAACTTCCTGTTTGTAGCTTTTCCTATCATATTTGAACTGTACAGCAAACAAATGGGTCATTTCACACTCAACCTTTGGACGTTTTATTGTGTTTTTCAATTAAATCTGTCCAATGTTGCTAAAGTTCCTAAAGCTTACAGTGTAGTTGGCTCCAGGCGGTGCTCTGATGAGACACTTTAGCGCTTCTCGTTCTGTCTGGCAGAAGGAAAGTCTAACTAAGGCAGCTAGAAGTGTCTCCCCTGCTGTTTGCTCTTTTGCAGCTCCTCCTTCCACCTTTTTTTTTCTTCCGCATCCTTGCATTTGATGTTCCTCAAGCAATCTCCGCTCCAGCTTCTCTCCTCTCATAATCTCCTTTTACACTCCCTCTGTGGCCCATCTCCCTTCGCTCATCATTGCTCTCCTCCTCCTCCTCCTCCTTCCCCTCCCCACCCTGTTTCTTGTGCGTGTTCCCCCTCCCTCTCCTAACCGTCTCCTAACCGTCTCCCTCCTCAGTCTGTCTGTATTCCCTGACTCCCTGATCTGATTTACCACAATTGGGGACTCTGTGCCACAAATACGAGCGTGTAGAGAGATGGTGGGTAGGTGGGATGATGAGCGAAGTGTGTGTGGGCATGCGTGCGTAAGTGACTCCTCATTAGATGCTCCCCCCCCCCATATTATTATTTTAAAGGTTGAGCGTGTGTGTCACCGAAGCTGTTGCGTGCGTCACCTGTGAAAAACACGCAGCCGGTACACTGAGGAGTTTTTTTTTTCACCCTGCTGTCCTGCTGCAGCGAGGTTATGGTAACAAAGCGAAGTCACGGCAGCTTCTCCTGAGCTACTGCCGCTCGAAGTGAAACGTGGCTCGTCGAGGTGGAGGCTTAGTCACAGGTGTTTTGGAACAGGTTCGTTCATGTGCTCCTGCTCTCCCTCGGGGAACAGATACAGGTGCGCCCTTTTCAGCGGAAGCCTTTTTAAACCTTACCAGTCTGAAGGAAAACAGGAAAAAGTATTCTGGTAAAAGCACCTACTGAAGCCACTCATACTGCTTAAACGTTGTTGCAACCACGAATTTCATTATTTAGATTTTACATCAGCACAAAGTGGTGCATGCTTATGAAGTGGAAGAAAAATGGCAAACGGACCGGTCAGTGTAAACTTGTCGTGATGACAAATTTTGCTGGATGATAAATTGACCCAGAAATATCAATGTTTTGACACCAATGTTTTGGCATAATAATGCAAGGACATCCTATCACAAATCAATGAAGTGAAATTTCCAAAGAACATTTAACACTTTAAATATCCCAAAATGAATAAACAAAATAACCGAAGCAATAAGTGAAATGGATTATGAAATCTCAATAAAACAAAGTTGTCCTTCAAAATGTATTAATTATTAGGTTCAGACTGGCAAAACTGCCACTTAGGACTTTTGTGAAATTAAAAAGTGCAAACTGGCATTTTTCAAAATGGCGGCTAACTGCATATGGAAATGGAAATTATTGCCCTCTTCTTAATTTATCACGCAGTCAGTTGATTTATTGCTTTGATAAACATCCATCTAAAGACTCTTCTTTGCCAAGCTCAGTCAGACTGGATGGTGGAAACAAAATATCACATCTTACTGAAGATTTTCTGTTGTATTTAGACGTGAACTTTGACTAGACCACCATAGTCTAGTCTAAATCATTTCACAGTAACTCCAAATGTTACGGATTGTGTTTTGCAGGTTTTAGCAGGTTTTGTTTTAGGATTATTTAGCTACAACGATCAGCATTAAGCACCTTGTCTGTCCCGTTTAAGAAAGCTGATCCCATATCATGATGCGACCACCTCTGTGTTTCACCATGTGGATAGTGTATTAGGTTTTCTGCCATGCATGACATTAACAGGGACTGCTTAGGGACTTCTTCCAACTATGGTTTTCTCTTTGTCATTTTTCAGTTTGTGGATTTTATGACTAACAATTCTGTCAAAAGATTTTCCCACCTGAGTTGCATCTCTTTTAATCTCCTCCAGAGTCACTGCAGGCCTGTTAACTGCTTCTCTGCTCAACATAAAACTTATTTCTCAAGAGTATGTTTTTTTCCAGAACCATAACAAATAGATAATTTTGAAAAACAGCTTATGAAGTGTCATACATTCAACATATATTTTATGATTTAGATATTTGGAGTTTACTACAAGGAAAACTATCAAACTTTTACAAAAAGAGGATGAAAACAGTTTATGGATGGATGTTCCATATTTTGGAAAAAGAGCATATTGTTTATGGACTCATAACAAAGGAATAACTTGGATGGTTCCTCATGGATATTTATTTATTTTGCACAGAGACAATGTACAACATTTCATTAATCTTTCAAAAGGAGAGATTCATGGTGCCAAGTTGCAGCAAAAATGCTAATTTACACCTGTATCCCCTTTATGGGTTGATGATAATCAAATATGATTTAACAAATTATGAAATGGTGAAAACCCAGTATCATAATTAATTTCATTACATGTCCAATAATTAATTATTCACATTTTACTGAAACCAAACCAGCCAATCTAACTACGATCCCAAAGAGAGTTCATAAAAGTACCGCTTTGCATTTCTCAGTAATGAGTACAAATCTGAGCATATCAAATTAATGTGTTAGAAAACCTACTAAATTAACCTCTAGATTTAAAAACACTATTAGTTACATATCAGCTTTTATCAAAGGGTTTTAGGAGCAGCTTTTGAGGTTGACGTTCATGTCCTGCTTCTTTTTTATTTTATTTTTGCAGTGGTTTCAGTCTCTCCATGTTCAAAGCTCTCAGACGTTCAGTGCTTTAGTTATTGTTTTATCATCTAAAGTTTATTTTTATTTATTGAGTTATTTGTTTATTTCAAACAAGGTTTTAGAAGCAAGAAAACAAGGAATCAGTAGGACAAGAAAACACATGTGCATATATAACCAAGAACAAAATATTTAGCTTATTGCTACTTTTCTGTTTGAAAAAGAGTTGGAAGAAATAAACACGTTGCTCAATTAAACATCTCTAAACTGTCTGCTTTGTGTTGAGGCTTTAATGCTAAAACCACACTTAGTACAGACTGAGGCTGCAGTGAATTTTATTTGGGGTATTTACATGAAGGGGGTTGATTTCTGAAAGTTCTTGTTTGTAAAATAGTTTCTTTACTATTAAGGTACACACTACTCTTGGTGAATCAGATAAAATAAAAATAAAATGCAGAGTTTTGTGGTTGTTACTGGACAAAACGTGGAAAAGGTCAAGGATTATGAATACTTTTGTAATACACACTGCATGCTGGCTTCATTATTTGTGTTTTCTCACTCATTCATAGATCTGCTGCTTGGAAGTTTGGACCCGTTATCAACACTGAAAGTACAAGGCTGTCATGTTTTTACACACCCTGGGAGTTTTATGTGGGCCAGTCTCAGGTCAGGCTTTAATGTGGGCCGATGAGGCTCATCTGCCTGTAAACTGCTCCCATAAAGTTCAGGAGGAATTGCTGCAGTTTATGCTTCGTCCGTGTCCTTGGTTGTGTTTTATGACAAAAGCTGCATGAATGCAGGCATCTCCCTCCCATGCCCTTCCCATCAGAGCACACCCTCACACCAGCTTTCACTCTCAAGCCGACAAAAGGTGGATTCATAGGTAATTCCTGCTGTTACCAGCTGGATGTTTGCACTCAGTTTAATAAAAGACTGAGTCCATTCGTCAAAGGAGATCGAGTCCACTGTGCAAAAAGCTTTATTTCAGTCCTAATGTCTTTGTATGCTGCCACAAAGAAACCAGCTGCTTTGTGTTGTTGATCAGTAGTTCCTGTGGAGTTTCTTTTTCATCTATTTCCACATGAAAAGTTTGGATTTATGGGAGAAACAATCCAGTCATCCATTTTCTAACACCCTTCTGGGTGGAGATGGACACGTTAGCTGGTGCCCATCTCCAGCTAACGTTTCGGGCGAGAGGCAGCGTCACCCTGGACAGGTCACCAGTATGTCGCAGCGCAACACAGACAGACAGGACAAAATACCATGCACACACACTCACACCTAGGGAGAATTTAGACAGTCATGTGTTTGGACTGTGGGGGGAAGCCGGAAAACCCGTAGAGTTGGCAGAAGCAATACAAGAGAAAAATATTCCACATTTTATTTAGTGTTCCTGTATCCATCTGTCTGTCCGTCCATCCATTTTCTGTCCTGTCTCCATTTCTTTCTTGCTTCCTACCAGGCCTTGTTTTTCTTTCAGGTTCCATATTTAAAGTCAAACCACAATTGAAATATCTCTCATACATTCCTGGGAAACTTTTACATTTGTATCTGAACACTGGGGCAAAATGGACCAAGTATTCTTGAGTCAATTTGAATCATTTTACTGAATCAGAATGAAATGCAATTTATTGTGGAAAAAAAAGAAACAGAAAACCTGAGAAATGTTAGAAGAAACACAGCAAAGTCCTGACCATAGATATGTATCATCCCTGTTGATCATTTACTGTGTGCCACCTTTTACCACCTGGGGGTAATAAAGTGCAACTCCTGCCTGTTAAACATTGTTAGCTTCGGTTCTTTTTGAATAAATCACCTAAACATGAACAAAACGCATTTCATTTTATCCAGATTGTTGGCAATAATGTCTCTCAGGATTCTTTGTGTGCAGACACAAACACAGCAAAACATTCGCCTGATTCGGAAATGGTCAGATATTGAACAGAAAATTAGATCAAGTCTAAAGAAAGATCAAAAAGCTGCACATCAGAATCTCTTTAGCGACAACACAAAGTCTGGCTCCTTCAAAAGCAACCCTCAAAGACATTAATTTAGTTCCTTTATTCTTCTGCTGCAGAGCAAATCCAAAGGCCAGGACCTTTTTGATCAGATCATGTACCACATAGATCTGGTTGAGACGGATTATTTCGGACTGCAGTTCATGGACACAGATCAAGTTTCGGTGAGTAGCGAGCTTTTCTCTCAGTTAGTGTGGACCGCATGCTGATGTAACTCACTCTCACCTCATTTCTCTCCCCCCCCAGCACTGGCTGGATATGTCCAAGTTTCTGAAGAAACAGATACCTGGTAAGTTGTCAGTGGCTCTGAACGTCAATCTGGTTTGTGCAGGAAAATGTGCAGCGTGCTGAGTGGGGAGCAGGTGGAGCATTATCTAATGTTGACTCGCTGATTAGCGCATGCATTTGGAAGCCATACCTTGTTTGCTCTCCGGCTCCTAACGGGGGGGATAAATGGAGTGGAGGAGGGTGGATCTGCACCCTGACATAATCTGATGGTTGTTAACATAAAAATGGAGGCAGGGATAGAAGTAAGGCTGCAGATAAAAGTGAGGGAATAGAGGGATCTCGTCTTGGGACGGTGATGGATGGACTAGATGGGAAGACTTAAGAGGAAGGAAAAGATTAAACGATGAGATAAAGTACAAGATGGTTTTGATTCGATTAGATCAATGTGGCTTGAATCACTGCTTCATCTGTCTCTGCCCTTTCCCGTCTCTCTTTATTTCTTCCAGAAGGGCCGCCTTACCGACTCTTCTTCAGAGTGAAATTTTACTCTTCAGAGCCAAATAACCTGCGAGAGGAATTCACACGGTAAAAAAAAAAATCACAGGCACTGACGGAGCTCTCCAGAGCCAGCCGTAAAGGTCCAAAGGGGATGTAGGGCTAATTAGTTTGTTGCTGTGGGCAGATACAAATCAGGGCCAAATGGACAGAGACTTGTTAAAGCAAATTATGTGTCAGAGTGGAGGAAAAAACCTTGATTGATTCATCTTCCTTTTGCACCAACAGGTATCTTTTTGTGCTGCAGCTTCGACAGGACATTTTGTCTGGCAAGTAAGTTTCTTTTTCCAACACAGAGAAGAAGAAGAATAAAGCTCCATGGTGCACAGATGACATTATTTAAACTTGTAATCTTTGATTTTTAAAGCACCAACAACTAAAGTAAATCCTAATAAATCCTTGCATTCGGGTGAATATTACTGTCTGAAATACAGCAGCTGCAGCTGAATTTTTTATGCCATAAACACAATAGAAGCTCAGTAAATGAGAATGTAAGGTGACATTTTATTTATTTCAGTAATTCAAGCCAAAAAGTGAATCTCATATTTAATATACATATATATAGTCTTTGTTGCTGTTGTTTTTGATGATTACTTCTAATAAAAATCCAAATGTAGTTTCTCATTGCATACATCACATAAAAAGGGTTTTTGATACAGAAATGTTAAATTATTGCCGACACATTAATAGTGGCGACTGTTGTCTTTATAATTGTTCAGCAGTCAAATCATTGACAAGGAGGGTAAGCCACAAAACGCCACTGCTAAAGAAGCTGACTGTTCATGTCATGCTGCATGGGAGCATATCAATGGAAAGTTTAGTGGAAGGAAAAAGGGACGAGAAGATAAGTGCAGCTTTAAGAGGATTTTGTGGGAGATTCATTGGGAACACTGTGAAGTAGAATGAAAATTATGTTTGTTTTTTTTATCCTTGAAAATCTGAAAGATGTGTGTACATTTGTATTCAGCACTTCTAAGTGAGTACTTTATAGTACCACATTTCAGTTTCTAGCAGGTTTTCTGCCACTATTGGCCTGTGTTTAACTTGCATGTAGGTCAAAAGCTCAAGTTGTGATGTTATCTACCAGAACACATTGGGGAGAGTTTAATAACCTAATCCTGCTTTGAACTAATCCAGTTCTCTATTAATCTGTGTGACGTGTTCGTTGGTCTTCATGATGAACAAACCTCTGAGGTCTTCACAGAACAGCTGGATCTTCACAGTTATTAGTCCAAACTTAGTCGGATAACAGAAAAAAATAATTATTTTTATGCGTTTCAGTCTTTCATCCACATGAAAACTCCATATAATATCACTATAAATGGTTATCTATAAAAATTCCATATTTGTGTAAACTGGAAAACAGATTTAGGGTCCTGTGCATTACAGTCTGCGATGAATAATGCGCCAACATATCCATATACTTGCTTTGACATGATTTCCAAATTACATTTATCTTGTGTTTTATTAACTTTACATTCTAAAATTATATTTAAAAGTAGTTCAAACTATATATCTCTCAAGACAAATGTACTTCCTGGTGCCATGTTTAATTTCTAACAGGAAGTCATGGTTGTTTTGAAGCAATCTGATTGGCTGACATAGGTTTTAAACATGCTGCCCTCTGTGGGTCTTGCATGTTTAAAACCACGCTCAGTGACAACTAATCCCATGTGTACAATATTGTTTGGAAACATAAATTGTTCAGCAGTCAAATCATTGACAAGGAGGGTAAGCCACAAAACGCCACTGCTAAAGAAGCTGACTGTTCATACTGACAGATGGACTTTATTCATTAATTGCGTATATTCTAATATCAGAGTAGAGGGGTTGATGTGTTGGAATATCTATACACTTTATTGGATATTTATTTTACAAGAAAAACTTGAAACGTTTTCCCTTCACGTTACAACAGTCCTTTGATACTTTGTGTTGGTGTAGCTCATAAAATCCAAACTACATCCACTGAAGTTTGAGTTGTAGTTTGTAGCAAAGCAAAATGTGAAAACGTTCAAGGGGTGTGATGGCATCTAAAATGTACTATGTGCTATATGTTTGCTACATTGTTTCATAATTCAATAATTTGGTTAGATAAGCATAAAGCCTGGAACAGCTGAAAGCTAAGGTCCTCATAAGTCACTTTGAGCTTGTTCCTTCCCCACTGCGGGGATGTCCCACCTCTAGCCCACGGGTCACCTCCACTACAGTTTTCTCAGTAGTGGTGGAGTCAGTCCACCGACATCTGTTTCACACACACACACAAGCCCGACCTGACTGTGCAAACACTCACTTCAGTGTGTCAGTGCTCCTATCTGGGCCACTCGTCCCCAGAGTCCAGTTCCATTATAAAAGCTCAAGATCAAGAACAGCAGAGGGCTGCTTATTTTAGGAAAAGGGTTGCTCCTCTCCTCCTTGACACACTCGCACTGTGTAGGGCATCCAGCCACTTTATGTCTCTCCCGCTCATGACATCACTCCAGGGCAGTGCAGGTTCTTGCCTGAATGGCGTCCTGGGAATATTGTCAATATCAGCAGAGGCTGTACATTTGTTCTAATTTGTGTTTAATCCCTTTAATTTCAGATTAAAATGTCCGTACGATGTGTCAGTGGAGCTGGCGGCATATTGTTTACAAAGTAAGTGAGGTTGTTCCAAATTTGCAAATTTAGCTCTTCATCCCAAATGTCCACTTCTAGTATTTATAAAATTAATTTCAACACCTCCTAAGTCACTCATTTGAGTTTATTTTACAGGGTTTTTTTTTTTATTATTGTTGATTATATTGTAAAATCCTCTCCTGGGCATTTATGCTTGGAGTAATATCTATTTAAAAAAAGGCTCAATGTATGATTTTCAATCGCTTTCTTGCATTATTGATGCTGTCCCTCTGCAGATTTCCTCTAATCTTGTTTTACAAAGATTTCCTCAGATGCACCGACAAGGAGCATCAAGAGTGAAAAATTCAGAGCAGCTTAGCTGTCTCAAAAAGTAATTATTTTGTTTACAAAGACTATCTAATTTACTGTTATGCAGCTTGCAGGAAGTTGCTGCAATGTAATTTTTGCAGAAGAATAAAAAATGGCAGAAGGTAGAAGAAAGGCAGCAGTTTTATTGCTTTTTAACTTGTGTTCCTGTTTGTAAAAGATGAACGATTTAACTTCAAATGATCAGATCTTTGGGAGATGCTTGTTTTTTGTCCATCCACTCACAGGTGAGCTTGGCGACTGCGACCCGTTGGACCACTCCCCGGAACTGGTGTCAGAGTTTCGTTTCACTCCCAAGCAGAGCGAGGCCATGGAGGCAGACATCTTCAGCAGGTGGCTGGATCTCAGGTGGGGAAGAAGAAACAAAGCAGCTAAATTGTCTTTGCTTGTTCTAAAACGGGACCCTTGTACACTAGTCTGGTAAAAACCATGTCCTACACTTTTCTTTGTACAAAGGTGTCAAGGCTCTTGGCTGTTGAGAAACCATTGCTTCCTGCAGGCGTGGGCTCTGTTTACAATTTTACCCAATCGCTAACGTTTGTTGTATGTAATGCCGTGATTCAACACTAAGAAGCGTCCTAGAAGTTGCTTGTGCTGTAAACAACTTTCCTCCACTGCGAGGAGAAAAGAGTCGATCCAAACGAGGTTGTCTGTTAATGTGAATTTAATGTTTGGAAACATTGACAACGCTGATTGAGCGGTTTCGTTCACTTCCTCCGCTGCCTTTGCTAAAACTACAGGAGGACAGCAATTCTAAAACAGCTCTGAAAATGTATGTCATCGTTTACAACTTCTCCTGTTCGCTGATTGGCCTGGTCCAAAATCTACTGGCGATAATCCGAGTCAAAGGGAGAAAGTCCCGACTGCTGGAAATTAGATTTTTTTTATTTTGAGCGGAGTTGCACAGGAAGGCAGTGGCCAGGCTAACTGGTCGCCAAGACCTTGTGAGTGTCAAAGCAGCTTACTGGAGGGCATCCAGCCACCGGCAACTTGACCCCAGGTTTGCTTCTCTCCTGTGAGGTTCTAACAAGCAGAGCAGAATCTGAAGCAGAAAAGGAAGTTATTCTGCTGCCACCTGTCAACACCAGCTTTTTTAGAATTATTATTTTCACATCCGAAGGTTTCCAATTTTACCATCCCTCTTTGCTTGCTCCCTCTGCTTCGGCCTCTCTATCACTGGTCTGTGTAAAGGATTATGGGATTAATCTCTGAAGGGTCTTGATTGATTCTACGGAGTGTTTAACCCAGCTCTGCTCTGATTGCTCCCCTTTCAGATTAGATTGCATATATATGCTGTATGCTGTGGCTCACAGGGTCAACCTAGCCACCAATGAGGGACAGACTATGCTTAGAGTGAGATCAAAACGGATAGTTACAGACCGCGCACCTGATGCATTTCTTTTTGAGAGTGCTTTGGGAATGTGACTGCATTATTTTTACTGTTAAAACTAATCTTGTGGGGTTTTTTTCTTCAGGGGACAGAGCCCGTCTCAAGCAGAGATTTCTTTTCTCAACAAATGCAAGTGGCTGGAACTTTATGGCGTAGATATGCACTTTGTCAAGGTGTGTGTGTTTAATTCACCTCCACAGGTACAGCTCCAGTCAGAAGTTTACATACGCTCATCATGCAGCTGTTCTTTCTTCCTAGTGTACAGTGCAACAAAAAACTGAAATTTATGTTAACAATAAGAACTAGGTGCACAACTTTTTATTATAATTGTGTAATTCAAGCAAGGCCAAAATTACACTCAAAGCTTCAAATATATGGATACATTAATACTAATAACATCAGCAGGCTTCTGGTCTATACTGCAAAAACAAAAAATATGTTTAATATATATTTATATTTAAATTACAAGTTAAGGTTTTGTGTTTTTGCATTGTATGTCTTGCTGCATATTCGACTCTCTTGGTAGAAAGTTAAAAAAGAATAAAATTAGTTGCTTTTAAGCACTGTCCACCCATTTCCCGTTTTCAGAAGGATTAAATTTACAACTTTTGGAAGGCATTTCCATAAGCTTAATGTCAGCGGAAAGTTGTGCATCAAGTTCTTGGTTTTATAAAATGTTGAGGATGTTTGTTGTCTTACTACATCCACATACGTGCATGGATCAGATTAAACATAAACGTCTCAAAAATAATAAATATAATTGAATGTAAACTTCTGACTTGAACCAAATTATTTCCTTCATGTCATTGTGGAGATAATAAACTAAATGTGTTCAGTTTTATTTCTTCAGGGCAGAGATGGAGGAGAATATGCACTTGGTCTCACCCCGACTGGTATCTTAGTTTTTGAAGGCTCCAATAAAATTGGACTTTTCTTTTGGTAAGCACATACACAACCTTTTATTGTTCAAATAACAATAATAATAAGGCATTGTGTACACTACCCACAAACACTTTTTACACAAAGTTTGCAGCTGCAGTGAAGCAATCAGGCTTTATCACGTTATTCATATTAATAATGTTTTTCTACACCGACTCATTTGGTAAACTAGAGCTGAAACTACGCGAAGATAAAGTTACTTAAACAAAAATGATCTATTTATGTAGTCAGTTGTGTAATTTATGTAAAGTCAAAAGCAGTCATTTGGCTGATTTCTTCTGGTTGTCATCAAAATGAATTTCCTTCCCATGTAAATAAAGTCAAGCTTTACTTTAAGTTTGATAACTAAATCCAAAAGTACAGGAGAAATAGTTTTCACTTGACTTTCAATGATTGTCAGTGGAAGCAAATAAGCATTAAAATGTGGGTCTTAATATAATTAATTATTAGTGTTTATGAGCTGAGCTGTCTAGTATAATTGCTAATAAATTACACAATATAAATGGATATAAACGAGTGTTCACTTTTGCTTTTCTCTGCACACATAGGCCCAAAATCACCAGGCTGGATTTCAAAAAGAGCCGCCTGACGTTGATGGTGGTGGAGGACGATGATCAGGTTGGTCTCCTTTAATATTCCTAAAACAAACCAGCTGTTGGCTCAAAATAAAAAGAAGACGACTAAAGTAACCTTTTCCCCGAAGGGTCGCGAGCAGGAGCACACCTTCGTGTTCCAGCTGGCCAGCTCCAAGAGCTGCAAACACCTGTGGAAGTGCGCCGTGGAGAGCCATGCCTTCTTCCGCCTGCGCCAGCCGACCGCCGGCAAGGCGAGCCGAAGCGACTTCACGCGGCTCGGCTCCCGCTTCAGATTCAGGTGGAGCAGAGATTCGCTCCCGGCGGCTCCTGCCGGCAGAGCCGTCCCACGTCCGGACGACGCGCTCCGGCCTGCCGGGGTTGCTGTGGTCAATACTCGCTGCCGGCATATGGGGGAAATCACGTGTCCCATCAAACAGATCCTTTGTATCTATGGTTACCGAGTAGCTATGGTTACGTGCACCTGTTCCTATGGCGACTGAGATGTTCCCCTTGAATTGTTTGTTTTCTTGTGATTAGTACCAGACAAATTCTCACACTTGAAGGGCACTTCCTGTCATTTGTTGGAGAGGGCAGATCAAAGCGCTCTGTTGTGGTTTGTGCACAAACACTCATGTTGCAGATGGTGGAAGTGCAAACAAGCACTTGAATACTGCGCTGCGAGAGCTATTGTAATAGGTACACCTGGGTCACCTTCTGACTCTTTTGTATCCTCCTAAACTGGTCTAAGAGGAAATAAATTCCTCTTCTACTTTGTTTTTTTCTCTTTCACATAGCAGCTATGTTTGCCTTGCTTTAACCTGAGCCAGCTTTAATTCACAAAGCCGAGGAAATGCTGATTTATTCAGGCACACGGGATAGTCACTTTACCAGAGGTTGCCTACATTTTTATTGTATAAAAATAGCATTATTGGCCAACATTATGTGCACAAATGAGGAATGTGACGTGAGGCTTTAAGCACTCACACCAAGAATACATAAGTTAAAATATTTAAGGATAAAGAAACAGTTTGTACATGTCTCAGTTGAGAATAAACTAACTCCCAGAGCATTTTGCTGGACAGAGGTGCTAATGCTAACATGTACAGGACCAATAATTCCAGATTCTGTTGTGCTAATTTTGTGTATATTCCCTTTAACACGGATTCAGTGGACAGCATTTTGTTAACATCTTCATTCATAAAGACGTGTTGTTTTTTGCCGCTGATTTTGTTTAAAAGGTGCTGCATAGTAGTAAAGAAATAATCAGCATATAAAAAGCCCCACAACCTCTCAAACAATTGTACCGTGGTGTTTTAAAATGCGTATTTTTCTAACTTTGCGTAGTATTTAGTTTGGCTGTAACGCTATCTTTCACAGTAAATGGGAAGCATATGGAAATTCAGTTTTAGACTTGTTTTTGTTTCTATCCTCTTTTGTAACAGAGCTGCAGTGCTCTTATAAAAAAATGTAGCTTTACCCATCAGCCTCCTCTCTGGAGTCTGCACAGTTCCCATGCTAACGCTTTTAGGATCCTGTTGCTAAACTCCAGTCAGGTGTTTTAAAGTACTTCTACTGAAATCAGTAATACAGATTGGTAATTTCATCTTCTAAACTCGTCTTTGTGTTTGTCTCAGTGGAAAGACGGAGTATCAGGCCACTCATGGAGGGAGACTGAGGAGAGCCAGCACGTTTGAGAGGAGGCCGAGCAAACGGTACCCCTCCCGCACACAGTCGCTGGGCAAAGGTGAGCCTTTTCAGCACATAGAAAACATGGATGACTAACCGCACCTGTTTTGTCCTCTGCGCCCTCATGCATTATCAAACAGGTCACACACCGTTTTGCCTAAATGGCTGAAATCTGCAGCATATAGAAAACCCTGAGACAGAAAGAAGCTCCAGCCTGGGAGGCAGAAAGGTCTCTTCAAGGCTTTCTCTTTAAGAATGACCAATATTATGTTTTACTATGACAAGTTCAGCAGATTTAAGAACAGTGCTGGTCTATTTTACATAAAGTGCTGCAAAATTCAAGGCTATAGGTTATCATCATCTTTCTTCTCTGTGCTCTTAACGCCCCCATAATTCCCACCTTCTGTGAGCTACGGTGGCCTAACGAGCCCAAAAGCATGAAGTAATAATCACTTATATGCTGGTGAGCTCATTCATAACTACATATATCAGCATCCAAACATCTGAAAGATTTGGATTTACTAATCATAACTGTTGTCATGCAACCACAGACATCTGTACCTTTTATTAAAGGGCACTTATTATGCAAAACTCACATTTGTCATGTTTTGTACTTCAATTTGGGGTTTAACCTTTTCTAAAAACAGCCCAAGCACAAAAAAAAAAAAAAAATCACCTAGATGTTTTTTTGACAATAAGTTAAAGTGTTTAGGTGTCTGGAAAATTAGCCGTTTCAAAAAACCTCCTGAACTTTGAGTCACAATCAGTGGACATTTACTGTGCCATTACCTAGCAGCCCCAGCCTGTCACCGAGAAACGTGAAATTCCAGCATGTTGGATCTGATGGTTTTACCACTGTATTAGCTGTACAATGGCTGCTGGAAAAAAAAAAAACCAAAAAACCCCCAAATGTCTTGTTACCATTCTTAAACAACTTTCTGCATTCCTGTTGGTTGGTTTCAAAGATGTACAATGGTGTAATTGTGAATATGTTTGTGGCTATTTTCCTGCAAAAGTGTAAACGGTGAGTTGGGGGACGTGGCCAGGTGCAGCTCATTTGGATTTAAAGTGACAAGAGGCCCTGAAACAGGTTGATCTGAAAGACAGTCAAAACAGGCACAACTGACCAGATTAAAATCTAATGAACTAAGAATGATTTTGTGCAAAAAATATAATGAACGTGTTTTTATAGCACATAAACCAATCCTAACATGTCCAAGGATGTATAGTAAGTCACCTTTATGACTGCTTCTAAGAGACCAACAAAAAGTAGTGGACCAGTGTCAGCTGTGAAAAAAAATTAATTGTTTTGAGAAGCAAATCTGAAAAGTGTGGTGTGCATTTGGTTTGACTAGTATCAGAGTAGAGAGAGTATTTAAACAGGAAATTCAGTGCAACCAGAAGTCTCCTGAAACAAGCTGTTCAATATGTCATCCAAAAATGAAAAGAAGGCTGTGGTAACTCTGGAGGAGCTGCAGAGATCTGTCAACATAGCAACATTGACTCATACATTCCACAAATCTGGCTTTTCTGCAGAAGAGAAAGCCACTTTTGAAAGAAAGTAACATTTAAAGTAACAAGCCATGTTGGGGACATAGAAAGTGAGAAAAATGAAACTTTTTGGCCAACATACCTGGCAGAAAGTCGACACTGCATCATCACCCTGAACACCTGTGACTGATCAGACTAAAGAGGCTGAACTGACTCAAAAACAAGAACATGGAGATAAAGACTTTAATATGTCCCACTGTTTTATTTCTTTTTCAGTTGCTATTTCCCCTGCGAAGCCTCTGCATATCAGGTAAAACTCTGTAAAGCACACATGCGCAGTGCACAAATCACATCTTATCAATCACTCTTGATCTTAACCCATATAAATGCCTGGTCAATCTTAACAAAAGCACCAAAAGCCATTTGTGTAAAAGAATCAAAGATGTGGAGGCATTTACTCCTATTTTTGTCACAGTTTTTGTTCTCCATTCCAAACATTGAAATTGTGTTTTTGATTCACTTTAAATGTATTATTTAGTTCCATCTGTTGCACTGATTGTTGACGTTCTTTTCCAGCTCGCATGCCAGCCCAGATCCCAGTCCACATGCGGTGAGTGACCGTAGATGACTCATCAGCTGCGTTTCCTTTACAAATGTGCACAAATCTTTATCTTCTGCCAAAACACAATTTCTCAATTAACCATCCATTAAAAGAGCCTCAGATTAATTTCACTTCCTGCCACGGCCGGGGTGAAATTACCTTAATAACCCGATATCGTCTCCCCTTTCAGAAACCGTTAGATTTTTCTCAGACAGCGCAAAGTGTGACGGAATTGCGGTACTGCAAATTTGGCTGGATCGTCGCCGCTCCGTTTTGTCTGGCAGTGTTAAAATAAAACCGCATATGAATAACCTTGTTCACAATAATTCATTAAAAAACATGTTAGTGGAATGAGAATATATTTCTAATATAGCCATGGTGCTAGAGCTTGTCGTCTACCAGCCATCAGAGGGGACATTGGTGTCTTATTCAGGCGTGGGAGCGACACCCTCTTAATACTTTTGAGACCATGAGGCATTTTGGGAAAATTGTAGTTGGTGATTTTGCAGAAGAGCTTTGGATTCAACACTTTAGAATGACACACAGCTTTTTATGAACTGTGCGAAGCTGCAAGAGCTCTGGTGGAGGTAGCTGTACATTCTCCGAAAGAAAAACAAAAGCAAACCATATTCCTACCATTTTCTTTCATCATCTTCAATGTCTTCACTAGCATTAATGTCAAGCAGTTCTTCTTCTTTTTTTTGTTTTTATGGTGGTTGGCAAGCAATGTTTTGGCGTGCACTACTGCCATCTACTGGAGTGGAGTGCGATCCAGGACGATACATGTATATTTCCCCACCCAAAAGAAAACAAAATTCTCTATATTCTTTCTACAAACTTTGTCTTCTAAAGGTATTTCAGTAAAGAACTAAAATATTCAAAAGTCAAAAAGTTTGTCCAAAATATATTGTATATGTAAATGTTATTTATTATCTTGGAGTCTAAACAGAACAACAAAACGTGTTTTACGGTTTCTTCTAGAAAACAAAAATCACATTTTCCTGTTGGATGTTTTCCCATTTGAAATAAAGTACTATTTAACCTGTATAGTCAAAACGTAATCTCGATATAATGGTTTCCCAGCAGTTGATCACACATGTGTTTTCATGCAGTTTTGTAAAATACATTTATTTCTAGACAGCTGAAAAACAACCTCATCCTGCTTTTTATTAAAAGGACTGAACTTTTTCAAAATTGCCACATTTCTGTGAAGTAAATTTATGCTCATAAATTCAGTTTGCTCAACTTTATGGTGAATGGGAATGCAGCTGGTCTCACACAGAGACACAGAAATGCAGCAACAACCAGCCTGGCTTACAGAGATCTTTAATTTCAGCTTCTCCATGATCCTCTTCAGTTCCAACACAACATTCCTATCGGTCACGAGCCTTGGCATCCGCCCCACACGGCTCTTACGCCCCCAGTTTACCTGCAGCCCTCCGGTCACACGCCGTCACACAGGTAAGTCAAACTGCATGGACCACGGCTCCATCGTCTTTGTTTTCCACGTCACTCACACGCCTCCACTTGTCTTGATCGTGGTCTCCACCATCTGTTGTGCTCAGGCCTTCCTTTGAGGCTGCGAGTCCGTTGTACAGTCATCCTCCTGCCCCTGAACGAACCGTCCTCAAAGGATCCCTCAGTGTGGTTCACAGGGACAAGGTCATGACTGCCCTTTGACCTTTCTCCAACCCCGGAGTCGGTTTCAGACTGTTGCCCCAAAGGAAGGAAGCTCTGCTGATGACCTTGACTCCATCTTCATTTTCATCACCAGTTGCGTCTTCATCTGTCTCTCCAACTCCAGTGTCGCCATCATTCTGTCGCTTTGTGCCGAAAAGATCCTTATAGCACGACTGTGGGGTGTTAAACATCCAAAGAGGGCAGAATAGAGGCCAAGGTATCGTGCCAGGCGAAATGGACCAGAACCTGTTCAGGGATTTTAGTTCTTGTAGTTTTTCCTGCCGATATTTCTGACTTATCAACATCATTCATCGTTTTGCAACACTTGTGTTTGACTCATTCTGAGGCTCATAATGCAACGTAAACATTCACTCGCTGAAGACATTTCAGATGCAGTTTAGGTCAGAAGTTTACATACACTCATTCAGTTTTTACAGACTTATTTGAAACCTTGTTCTTAAATGGTTGTAGGAAAACTCCAATCATTTGGAAATAACACCTTCGCTAATGTGTGGTTAATTGTTAAATAGTTCAAGCGGATGATCTTGGATTCTGTGAATTTTATTTGCTCTGAAAAACTTCAGCTCGCTGTATAAATTTAGTGCTAGTTCAACTTATTGTGTCAAACTAATCACTTCATGCTAAGAAAAAGAAATTAACTGCAGCAAACCCTGAAATTATTCAGATTTCTCCTGGCAGGTGCAAAGTAAGTTTTTAATTTTACCAAAATAAATTTTCAGACTGGAAGGAAATATTTTATTAATATTTATTAAATTTCATTGGACGAATCTGTAGAGGAGCTAAAGATAAGGGTGATGGCAAAGAGGCGTTTGGATGCATCATCTAAAAATCAGTAAAACATTCAAAACTGGTCAGCACTTATAGAGTGAGAGTTTGAATTGAATTAAAAACATGTCCACTGATTATTAAAAAGAGTATAAATATTATAAAATGCAATTTTTTGATACTGATTTTACATTATGTTGTTATTTTCTAGGACATTAAAAAAATCATGAATAATTCTGGCCTTAGCTTTAGCCGCTAACATTCGGCCTGTGTGGATCAGGAAAAGTGTAAAATAAGTGTAAAATAAACTTTGTCTAAACCAATTGTTTTTTTGTTTTCAAATATTACAAATATTTAATGTAAAATAATTTCCTCCTGAAAAAAATAACTGTTAAAAAAAGTCATAAACAATATTTTATTTTATGTAAACTTCTTGCTGGAGCTGTGTGCTTTTTGGGTAAACTACATTTTACTCAGATTGCTCATCTTTAATGTCTGTAGACAAACGATACATGGGAATATACAGTCAAAGCACTTCACAGTTTGTGGCTGATTTTAAATACTTTTAGTCTAACAATATCAGAGCCAAATCAGCAACTGATATCAAGTAATTTATTTAGACTTTCTGATTCAGAATAACCTTTCAACTCGTGTCTCTGTCCATTTATTTAAATATACAGTAGAGGAGAGAACAGACTTCCCACTTGAACATAGTTTAGATTGGGGTGTTTTTATTGCAGTGTGTGTAAATGCTTTACTTCCAATCAAGGTTTTAGTCTCTGGCACGTTTACTTCAGAATATTAAATATGCTTTAATCATTGTCTTTTGTTCCTAGTCTTATAAAAATTGTGACAGCTTTTTGTAGTTGCCTAAATTAACCAGAAGTAAAATGATATCAGTGCTGAGTGGAGGTAGATGGGAGCAGGTGAAAGGGAGCCTGTAGTCTTTGCTGCTTTAGAGGTTGAGCTACTGAATGTATCGTGTGAAATGCATATGAGAACTTAAATAAACATTGAATGTTTATTTAAACATCTGATGTTTAAATAAATGTTATGTCAATGTTATTTCAGGTCATGGATTTGTGAAATCAACCAAATGTTTACAATAAGTGTTGTTGTGCTGTTGGTTTGTGTTTGTTTCTTTGTTTTTTGTTTTTTTTTTTCCTTCATGTTTACTTGAATCACCTATGACCTTTAGGAATGTTGCCATATTGCTTCTAAGACAAATAAACAAGTTATAACAAGTTAACAAAGACCCTTTCTTTGGTGCTTTATGTTATGGGCAACACGTCCCACAGCTTCATTTAAAAACGTACGAAGTAGCATCACGTCAAAACGTTTTGAACTGAACTAAATTATATATAATATATATTTCTTTATGTAGGAAAAACTTCCACACAACATGAAAGTTTCATATGTTGATAAAGCGGAAAAAATGGCCATGAAATTTATTTTATCAAGAGTTTTATTGAAACATACGTTATTATACTTGCATGTGACATGCAGGAGTGACGGTCCATGTCTCGTTTTCTACAGCTTTCAAATAGCCAGACGTACTCGTAATTTCTAAAAATGATCTTCATCAATATATTTAGTGGCTTTTTGAAAAGTTGTCTGAGTGACAGGTTTTTAGAAGATCCCAGGAAAGCCTGGATCTGGGATGTCAAACTCATTTTGGTTTTGGGCCAAAGATCATGAATGCTCTGAAAGGGCTGGTTGTGCCAAAATGTATCGATCAAACCTGTTCATAAACCCTTAAAATATCAATAAATTCTTAAAATTAAATATTATTGAACATCGTCTCAGTGATTCTTTTTGTGATTTTTTTTTTCTTGCAATAAAAATCAACGTGTTTGTGGTACTGATTTGGAAATATTTTCGATATTTGCGCTTATTTATGACGGTAAATGAGACTTTATCAGTCGCTTTTTAAGTTATAGACTACAATCTGACATCATTTAAGGTTGAGACAGCTGTTTAGAACAAGTAAGAAAGTATTTGACAATTTTTGAAAAAAATCTGCAATAAACTATTTATGTACAATTGCCAAAAATGTGTGAATTTGTTGATTTTGCATAAATTTCCACAGATCTTGAGTTTGACACGTGTCCTAGATAATTGGAGGCAAATAGTTAAGACATTAGAGGTAATTTAACATTTTTGTGTAGCCCCAAAACTGTGTGTAATGAAGCATCATAACATTTGTTTAATGTGACCTCACATATATATTTCTGGATTATATCTGCTAACCATTGTATTATGGTTTAGCTACATTGCATAAATGTTTTGTTTATTAATCCTCTTTATTGGAAATGTTGCTCTAAGCCCCTGAATAAAGACATGAGAATGACTGTGGTTAAAACGATGGACATTCATTTCCACTTTCCCAGATTAAAGTGTTCAGGAGGCTTGTTGTTGTTTAGGGAGATGTTGTGACTGCATGTGTCATCCTCAGCTTCCCGCTGAGCAGTTCTGCTTCAGACCATCAGTACAGCTCATCAGAGAATGAAAATTCGCATCCTGGCAAGACCCACCATCATCACCGCCGCCACACACACAGCCAAGACACACTCTGCCACACACACACCAAGAACAGTGAGTACCCTCCGCCTTTAGAGATAAATCTGCCAAAAGACTTGGCTTGATGTTGGCTTTGTTGTTCCTTATAATTACTGCCTTTGAACATGTTACTCTACATGTGTAGTTCTGTTCATGTAATGGATTGAAAATGCATTCATTTGATGTATAGATGTTTTTGCCATCTAAGAATTACTAACTTTAATGTTTTAGAGATCCCCTACTACAGTGCATCGCTAAAGTATTTACACACCTTGAAGTTTTTCCACATTTTGTCAGCAAATTTTTATATATTTTAATAAGATTTTTTTTGTGACCCCCCCAACAGATAGTAGTACATAAGTGAGAAGGTACTTGTAAATAGTTGGTTGCAAATTTTATGAGAATATTTGACAAATATTATTTGCAAAATAGTTGTAAATCAGTGAGAGTGGATTATTTTCAAATCATGCTGCAAAATCTCAATTGGATTTAGGTCAGAGGACTTTGACTAGGCCACTCAGAAGGCAGGGGAAAATATTATATATTTATTTAGGAAAGTAAAGGCACCAAATACATGTTTTCAATTTATTAATCATATAAATAATAATTTTTCCTCACTGATTTGAGCCAATTTTTGTTGGTCAATCAGATTGCATGTCAATAAACTGCATTGAAGTTCATGGCTGTAATGAGACATGACCTGAAACATTCTGCAGGACACTGAGAAGCACATTCATCCTCTGTGTTCTTCTGTTTTAAATAGGAATAAACTAAACATGAATGAAACGTTTATGTACTAAAGAAAATATTGCCTATTTAAGGTTTTGTCTTCACCTTCTCAGTGCATAAGAAAAAAAATGTTGGAGACCCAACGACAAAGCTCTTTTGTGCAAATGCAGTGAGATGATTAAAATCTTTCGCTTTGTTTCTTGAAATATATTCGACTGTGTTGTTTAAGTTAGTGAATTAAGTACAAAACTGCCGGGTTCCAAACAAACCTTGTATGTTTTAGAACGTCGAGCTCCGCCCTGCCCTGCAGATGGCATGGAAATCTCTCAGTCGCTGCTCAAAGCTCTGGACACGGACAGGGATTCTCCTCCATGGCCTTCGCTGCACATAAACATCGACAACAAGGTGGGCGGGGCACATTTTCACATAACGCACTGGAAGAGCACAAAGTCCGACCAAGTATTTTTTGTCTAGTTTTTAATGTAAATATCTTAGGACGTTTGAAATAACATAAAATTAACTTTTCAGCGAGATATTGCTGAAAAGTTACTTGCTAATACCGATAAAAAAAATAATACGGGGTGAGCCAAAAGTTTTCTGTTCAAGTTTTGTGCAACCATGCGACCATTTCCCGGTCCAGCCATCAGTATAGTTTAAATTCTTTACTTTTTTGTCAAACGCATCTTTTTGGGTATCTGAAATTTAAAAGAAATATATATTTTACATTCTCCTATGCGTGGAAACTTGTGGCCCACTCTGTAGTTCCACTAACAAATAATTTCACTTCTAAAAAAATGTTTTTCCCAGGTCTTAAGTGGAATAATTATTGACTCAAAACAAGCTCCTCGATTATATATTTTGCTGTAAAGTTACTTTTAAGTCACTGTAATAAGATATTTGCTCTAGAAACACAGATAAATACTTGGTAGTATTTTGTGTTTTTGCAGTATGTGCTGCAGTTCCACTTGTTGCCTCTCAGGTCTCTTCATGTTTCTCCTTCTGCTGGCAGGGAGAAGAGAAACAACTATCGGAAAAGTCTCTGCACCCTCCTGCTTCCCCAGCGATGCTCCCAGATCATCTCAAATGTAACATCCTCAAAGCCCAGATGGAGGCAGCTTTCAGGGTATCAGATCTAACACAGATTAGACATCTAGCCTCAACTTTGACAGCTTAACTCAGAGCATTACTTCTTCTCTCATGCACAATGAAGAAGGATGCTCCTACGACGCCCAGAGGGAGAAGCTCAAATGACACCAGCAGTGACAGGTTGGGCTCTCGCCCATTGCTTTCTGTGTTTGTATGTCGTTCTGCAGGTTGTGATTTAATTCCCTGTCCCATCGCTCTGCTCTCCAGGTATCAGAGTTCATCGCAAGACTCAGCAGCTTCCAGCGTGACAGCGGAGAAGACGCCCCGCAGGCAGGATCGTAGTTTCACCCCAGAGAAGCTGCAGGCCAAGGGCAACCCGAGCTCCAACCGGAGGAAACGTCTGGTCCGACAGTTCAGCTTGTGAGCAGCTAGCAACGTTTTCTCAGATGAATGGTACTTGAAGTGAAAACTCCTCCCTGCAAGGCATGTAAATCATCCTGTCCGATCCTCGACAGCAACCACGAAGACGAAGATAACCTCCCAGAAGCGCTTGCAGCCATTTCCTCTCAGAGCGCAGGAAAGTCAGGGTCCAGCAGCTCCCTGGACAAACAGATTCAACCATCCATCTACCCGCAGGTAACAAAGCTTATCACAGCATTCAGACCACTTGGAGATGCAGTAAAAATATGTTTTTGACATTTGTTAAAACTATCACCGTGTTGTGACAGTATGAGACAGATAATCTGTGAAAACATCAATCTCATCCACCTCCTCCCTGAGCTGCTATTGCACCAAAAACAACCAATCAGAGCCAGGAGGCGGGTCTTAGCGCTGTCAATCAATGCTGTTCAATTGTGCTAATTGGGAGAAACAAGTCACAGTTTCAGAAAAGTCATTTATCTGCTATCATCGGTGGCCATGCTAACTATCGTTAGCATTTGAGAGCGAGCGTGAATGGCAAACAGACTGAACTTCGTAGTTCAGTCTGTTTGCCAGGGTTGAACAAAAATATGTGATAGAAAATGTAGGAATTGTACACATTTGTTTACAAACACTCCACATTTTAGGAGCTCAAAAGTAATTGGACATATAAACATAACCCAAACAAAAAAGTTTTTTCTCAATATTTTGTTGCAAACTTGTATTGCACTTTTCCAATCACTTTGACCGCTCAAAGTGCTTCACACTACAGTCACATTCATCCATTCACACACACATTTATACACAGATTGGTAGGCAGTTTGAGGTGAATCGCCTTGCCCAGGGGCACATCGACATGTGGCAGGAGGAAGCTGGAGTCGAACCTGCAATCTTTCAATCACAAGACGACTCCTAGAGCCACAGTCGTAAGAGTGATTGACAGCGCTAAGATCCTCCTCCTCGGTTGCTTCTGACTGAGTGGTGTATTTCTATAGTCAGTACTGGGAGCACTGGGAAGAGGCAGAAGAGCTTAATTTTTTTTCATATGATAATTTTAACAAATAAGTAAAAAACACAAAAGTTACATACTGCAGCTTTAAAAACTTAAGAAGAATGAGGGCATCCTTTCACTGCTATGGGGGATAATTTTCCGTGTCTGACTGCATTTGAGTGAACAGATGTTTGTTTGTACCTGTGCAAATATTGATGTGTATTCCAGGTGGATAATATGCCAGCACTGGAGCTGGGTAGTCCGTGTTGTACCTCTCCTTCGCCTTCCCCTCACCTCTCCCCTTCTTACTACCGTAGCTCCATGCCCCACCTGGCCCCTTACCTCACTGCTCATAACAACAGGTAACATCCAGACCTCAGTAGCTTTAAACCAGTACTGTGTACAAGTAAGACTTGCAGCCATTTTCATGCCTTTTTTTTAAAAATCTTTGTTGTTTTTGAAAAAGTGCTTGGCCCTCATTGATGTTCTCTTTCATATTTAAGTCTTTCGGATCATCAAAAATAATCAAAAGTAACCCTAGTAAATACAAAATAGCAACAATAAACTGTCTAAACCAATTATATTGCTAAATCATGAATTAGCCACATTTTTTGAGTTTCATTTTAACACGAAGCAGGTTTAAAGGTCGTGGAAATCTATCAGTCTATCAGAAAAGTATTCGCAATAAACCAAGTAAGAATTATTTTTAAATAAACAAATCAAGTCACCAAGTTGTTTTGGAGAAAAGGATCATAGATCAAAAAATTCTGATGTTTTTTGGGACTCCATAAATATTTCGGTGACATAATGATCCAAAACCCTCCAGCAAATAGATCTCTGAATGGCTTCAAAATAAAAAACAAAGTGTTGGATATAGTTCAGTGCCAAGTTTATCTGACTGAAACTCTGGCATAAAACAAAATGGGGACCAAAATTCCTCCACAGCGACTCTTTGCAATTTCCTGTAAAACTTGTGATGGTAGCCATTTTGGCCAAACAGTTACTGGGTTTCCCTCCTAAATAAATTAAATAATTTGAGCACTTTTTTTGTATTTACTCAGGTTATATTTATATTATATTAAAATTGGTCTTATGATCTGAAACATTGATTATTTTTTTTGCTTTCTTTGGTCAGACTTAGATGTGAGTGTCATCACTTTCTCTCCTATGTGCTTTCACGTTTTATACCTGTTTAGGAAAATGTCCCGTTGCATGTGAACTTGGCTGAATCTTATGCTCTCCTCCTGGCGTCATACTTGCTTTTATGCTCTTTAAACAAATTTAATCATAAAGGATGCATATATTTTTTTGTTTCTTGATCCTAAACTTGGACACTTTCTGTTGTAAAACCCACAAAAAACCAAACCAGTCTTATTTCCAACAATGTTTATTACATCCTGTCATGCTAATTTCTTGTGTTTGTGTGTTTGTAGCGGAGAGGAAATTAAACTGGACCGAGAGAAGATCCTGAGAGCCCTGCTGATGACAGAACTTTGAGATTTTTTATTTTTACCAATGAACCTTGTGACCAGAAACTCAAAGGTGTCAGACGTTAGTCGCTATTTGTACATTTGCAATAAAATATAACAGATTTTAAAATATATTTGCATAACTGTAAATTGTTATATTTGCTTACCTGTTTTAGAACAATGTTTTGGTTGTATCTATTGAACTGTAAAAGGACTCCCTCATCACAAACTACATATCTGCTGGTGCTGCCTGCATGAGACATTTATTTTTCTTTCTGTGATTACATTGTTTGTTTTGGGGTTATGTCTGGGTTTTTATGTTTATTTAAACATCTCTGAGCCCGCGCTAAAGCTTTAAGCAATTGTGGAAGCTCTGATCTCCTCATACAAGTACTGTTAAAGTGAAGCCACGTTCAAATCAGGCTATTCCCACTGTAAATAGACATTGTAATTATTGTGCCTATGACGAAAGGAGGTCCTGTAAATGCTTACTTCCGTACTGTATTTATGTGAAATATCCATTTTTACATGCCAAAACATTTGCAGTATTTATGGTTAGAAACTTTTGAAGAGAATGTGTTTGAAGTGACTCAGATGTTGAAATTGTGCAGCACCGTTTGCAGACTGCCCACTAGAAGGAGACAAATCCGACGCGTCGCTGCAGCTCTGCTCCTGTTTTTCTGGTTTTCAGAAGGAGGAGGACTCACTGCTATTTTTTTACATGCAATTTCCATCGCAGCTCAAATGCAAATCTGTTCTAAGAGAGCATGTTCTTGGAAATAAAGATTATCTTGTTGCTCCACTACTTTATTTCTGGTCTGGTTTGTAAAGGTAACTCAGTGGATTTTCTGCCACTGTGTGTCAACGGCTCGTGCCGTCGGCCGGATCCTAACATATTCCCCTCATCAGTTCGCTAACCTTTGATTCAACATCTCTAGCTTCTGCTCTGACATGGGAATTCAGGTCAGCCTCACCCTGCATGCCTGGGCCTTCGTTTTTGTGTAGCACTCACCCTCCCAGCCAGGGAATGTTATGTTAAAGGAAAAAAAAAAAGACGATTTATCTGCCGCTTCCCTACTCAGGTGCAAGCAGGATGAGTCATCCAGGTAATTGTACCTGTGTTTGGATCTGAAGTGAACTACTTAAAGCTCTGCAAAAACATGTATTACTTTTCTTACAGAGCTTCTGCTTTTGTTTTTTTTTTTTGTTTTTTGTCATACCTCAGTGCTTCAGCTCATTGAATAAACTTTAACAGACTAAACCATAAAAGGCCAGTGTAAATAAATAAACATAATAGCCCTGCTTAAATTATTAACTCGGATTGACCACATTTACTGGTTCAGTTTCGTTATCCACACCCTGCCTGACCTATGGAATAACTAAATCTCTCAAACAGAACTGGTTTGACAACATGAAGCAGATTTAAAGGCTGCAAAAGCAACACATTTTTCCACAAGAGAAGACAAGACATTGACATCCAGGCTGGAAAGAGCTACAAAGTCAAGAAAACATGGCAATAAATTTCACTCAAAAGATGCCTCAAACTTAAGCAGGTGGTCTTATAAAAGCCCAGAACATTATCTGCGGAAATGCAGATTTAAATGAACCAGAAACAGAAAAACTGGGAGCTTTGTGGTGTTTCAGAGGCTCTTCTCTTTTTCAAAATCTGGCTGACTTGGCATAGTTGATGGAACCATAATTAATTGATCAACACATCCAAAGGTTGCAGCATAACAGCTCTCAACTGGACTTAAACTCAAGTACAGTTTAGTTGTACAACAGATAATGATCTGGACACCACCAGCCGGGTCATCTTTAAATATCTGACAAAAAAGAAGCAGATTTAAATCCAGTTACTTAAATCTGAGGTATGAATCTCTGCAGCTCCTCCACAGTTAGTCAAAGTCATATTTAAATTCTGTCAGTTAGTTGGGTGACATCTTATCTACTTCTCTAATTAATACTCCGTCTCTCTGTCTGACCTGTCTGCAGTTTTTCTAGATAATTTTTATTCACTACTGGATTTACAAATTAAAAGGCCATGGGATACAAAGAAAGACTGTAACCTAAAATCCAAATTAAAGAAATTGAAGTTTGTGTTTTTAATGTGTCAAAGTTTGTAAAACTTAAAGGTCTGTGAATACACCATAAAGTTAGAATGGCTTTAAGAGTTTTTGTAAAAGTAACCAGAAACATTTTGTCATATTCCTCTTGAAAACCAACCTTTTATTTTTACAGTGCATCAAAATCAAACTTTAAGGTAATCTTGAGTCACATATAGTCAATAGAAACTAGAAATAGATTAGCAGAAATTAACTATTAATCCTTACTGAGGACTTAAACTAGTACTTAAAAAAATTAGATTGACCTAAAAGTAAATGACATTGTGTGAAAACTGAGCTCTGCTTAGCTTCTATCTCTGCTAACTATCTGCTGATAAAAATGTTGAAAGCAGATAGTTTGAAGTTCGTTGCAGACACGATAATGTTAAGGTAGTTGAGACGTGGTGCTGTTCTCCGAGTACCAATGTGTGTGTGTGTTTTTTAAAGGGATCAGTCGGGGTGGGGCACCTGGGATTAAATTACACAATACCAAATCTGCCCTGAGGGGGTCTGAGATCTTGTTTTCCTCCGTCTTCCTTCTCTCTTCCCACTTCCTGATCTCTCCATTCTCCACCTTTTCACCCAGAGGAAGAAAGACCATCCTCACTACAATGTGTTCAGTGTGTCTAAGTGACAATGGCCTTTTTTTTGTTTTGGCTGAAGCATGCATGTGTGTGCGTGTGTGTGTGCGTGTGTGTGTGTGTGTGTGTGTGTGTGTGTGTGTGGTGTGTGTGTGTAGGTGGGTGTGTGTGTGTGCGTGGACGGGCATGTGTGTGTGTGTGCGTGTGTGTGTGGAAACTCAAGAGATAGTCACTGAGGACAGTACGAGGGAGTTCCCACAGTTTCGCCTTGAGTCACATTCTGTCACCAATAGGCGCCACCTAAGTGTTTGTGCTCCTCCACTTTAAACACAGAACAGCTCAAATCAAGCAGAAGGAGGCTGGAAAATTCACAACATTATGTTTATTGCTTTTTTTTTGTTTTGTTTTGTTTTCAGTATGTCTGCAGCAGGACTTCCTGCTTTTGGACACGTGTATACAGAAAATATTGATTCTAAACATTAACTCTGCATGGCACACATGACAAAACTTATGAGACATATGTCAAACATGTCCTTCAGTAAGCAATGTTTCTAAAAAATGTACAAACGATTTAAAGAGATAACAAGGAACAGGTTTTGTTCAATCATATTTCACACTGTCACTGCAGATGGTGGAGAAAAGACGAGACACGTTGGATCATAAGAACAAGAGCTAATGAAATCGAACAGGGACCTCCTCGGATTCCTGAGATTCATTCGTTTGAGTCAGTTAATCTAGATTAAAGCAAACTTTGGGGTTAAGGCACTGAGAATCACATGTTGAAGGAGAAGAAACCAAGACGCTAAAGCAGCGTTGGCATTAACCTACAAAAATAGAAACAACAGAAAGGAGGAGAGACGACACATTTCTGTGAAGTGAGTCTGATGCCGGAGTCAGACACACAATATGGTTGGTCCAGATTCCCAGCAGGGGGGATGTGTTGTGGGTAAATCAGCAGCGGTATTAATGAAGACACCAGTGTTTGAGTTTTCACAAGACAGAATTATTTCTGCATGAATCAAAGGTTGGGATGACCATGAGAAAAAAAACACAGTGATGCAACACTGTCCAGAAACAGAATAGGGTGTGTTATCCAGAAGACTGAACTCTGTTGAAATGAGTAAGAATAATACAGGTGCATCTCAATAAAACAAAATGCCAATGGAAACTAAATTCAAACGATGAAACTCATACTTCAAGTGTCTTTTTCTGATCATTTTGATGATGGATTAATGAGAACCCAAAATTTAGATCAAATATAAAAACATTTTAAATAGAGAAACGTCACTCCGTTCGCTTGTCCGTCTCAGTTTATTCCTCCACTAAGTTTTCCTTCATTTTGAATGGATGCAGCACTCTGAACAATCAGTTTCTTTCATTTGAGGAAAACAGCTTGCTCCTTTCTCCTCCCCCCAACACAATGAATGTTTCTGCATGTTTCTGAATTGTGAATCCCATCAAAATAAGTTTTTTCTTCATAATTTTCAAAAAGGGAGAACGTTAACCCTATTGGTTGTGTACCACTTATTTACCACATTTTTTTCTTCCACTTAACTTTAAATTAAGAAGCCTTGATACAAGACCTCTTGTTTGGCAGTAATCGTTTGTGGCTAATCCACTTTGTGGATTCTCTCAGTTACTGGTGGAAAACTATTAACTGCAGGAAATAAAAATACTTCTATACTTTTTGAAAAAACATTTTGTGTTTTCATTGGCCTTCAACATTTAAAAAGGTCTACAATGAATTTATATAATGTATCGGTTTTGAACCAAACTGCTGATAAAAATGACCTTTTCAATAATATTCATATTTATTGAGATGGATCTGTATTTGCATGTCTTGCATTAAACTTGCAGACTTCCTGAATGCTGCAACCAGAGACACATCCAGGTTTGTTTGATTTTGTTTTGCAAGCTTCATTTCAATCACTATTTGAAAATCCCGTCATTAATCTGCCGCTTTTGTCGTTTTCTGGATCTGAACCACCCTTAGCAAACGTTTGCCATCAGAAGATACTGCATCTTTATTCGTCTTTACATTTCTACTCGTTAGCAGTGCATTGGTATTTAGCATCATGTAAACATCTTAAGTTTTACTACAGTACTTCTTTATGCACTACAGCTTTCAATACAATCACTGCATACTTGTCTCCATATGCATATAAACACAATATTCATGCGTAATATTCACATTCACATCTCTTTCACACAGTCACTTTCACTCTTCACAGAAAAGCTTGGAGAAAAGGCTGAGCTCAGTTGCTACTAGATTATACTTCTCTAGTTTGGCTGGCAGATATAATGATTCCAGTAACTAAACAAGTTTAAAAAAAATCTCTATAAAGCTTTTAAACATACAGATAATGTGCAATATATATAAAAAAATTGCTATTTTTGGCTAAGGCTGCAGTAAATTTGGTATAAAATACATAAATTTTTTTAACCTAATAATATAAATAAGATTTCTAAAAGACTTAAAAAAAAACACAAACTAACAAGTCGTTGTCACATATGCATACACTTTCTGTGCGACGCTACAGTAGGGTCAGATCCAGGTACTGGTGGCCCCCGGGCTTTGTGATGAGAGGAAGGGACATAAGAGGAGTTTCTCCTCCGCCGGTCTGACCCATGAGACTGCTGGTCAGCAGAGAGACAGACTCCACAGGACCCTGGGAGGACGGCAGGAGGGGGAGAAATAGGGACACAGAAAGACAAATAAGTTAGAGGAGAAAAAAAAAAAAAGGTAACAAAAGTACAAAAAGAAGCCCTTCCACCAGAGCCAGATGTTACCCGCCACCTCCTCAACTGCCTGAAGGCCACATCTGTTGTGGGACCCGTCCATTAGCCTAGAGCGTCAACTGACTGTTCATTAAACCCTCGGCGTTGATATGCAGGTCAAATTTAAAGTGCATAAATTCAGTTTATACCGACTGAAATCAAGGCCAGTCCAAGTCATAAGCAAACGAGGCGGCTGCTTAAGGCAGCTTGGTTTTGTTGCAAAGATGTGGGAACTTCAGATCTGTGGCTACGTTTGTCATTAATCTGAAATATATTTCCTGAATATCACTCTTAAATAAAAAAAATGAATGTGTTTAAATCTTCATGACGGCCATAGTTTGACAACAATAAAAAATGTTCCTATTTTAATCATTCCTGAAAGTGAATCTCGGCTAGCAGTTTTCTTTGGCTGTGTTGAAAAACCACCATTTAAAATCAGAGTTTGTAGTGAATTGAATTCAGACTCAAGTAAGAGAAATAAACTGTGTCCACAGTTTTATTTCAACATATACACTGCCATTTGTTTATTAAATAAGTTGAAGTTGCTTTTGTGAGAGTTATGCCAAATATATTTGGTGATGCAACGTTGATTTAATTGTTTGGCTGAACCATAAAACGCAGGCTTAAAACACAGATAAACAAGAGTAGATCCAGCTTTATGCCAAAATGGCTACCAGAATGCTGTGGCGCATCTTCATTGCAATAAAATGCAGATTATGTCTGTTCAAAGGGTTTTAGGCCAGAGCTGTGTCACTGTGTGGGGGGATGAGGCTCCATTTTACATGGTAATCTGGGGTAGACACATAATCAATATCAAGAGATGAAATATTCTGATAGAATATCCAAAATTTACTGATCTCTGATCCAGAACTGCATAGCATTCTGGGAGACGTAGGCAGAGAAAAGGCTTTAGCAGCTCAAGCTCTCGCAGCCAATTAAACCGGTAGCATCAACTAACTGACTCGTTAGTTACCTAGCAACAGCTTGTTGAGTAACTTGTGGTTTCCTAGCAACAGCTTGTTGAGTAACTTGTGGTTTCCTAGCAACAGCTTGTTGAGTAACTTGTGGTTTCGTAGCAACAGTTTGCCTCATAACTAAGGAAAAATTCATAAACATCGGCATGAAGTGGAAAACTGTGGATAAAACAGGAAATGTCACGCCATCAGTTCGGCAGGATTTGGGATTTTGAAACCAAATACGGTTTAAATGTTGAGGTTTGTTTTAAAGTGCACTTCAAGTACACTGTGTATCATGACGGTTATTATTCTTAGCAAATTTTAGTATTTCTTGATCTCAGTAATCACAGTCCTAATAATAAAATTTGTGGGATGTAACAAATAACTACTAAAGTTTTTTTTCCGTACTTGCCACTTACAGGAAGACGCACATCACTTCTAAGGGGCAATTCTCCAGCGTTAAATACCCTCGATCTCTGCTTATAATGTAAAAAAGCTCAGATTTCTCCAGTAAACCTTCCTGGAGCTCCAATGTGAGTCATTTCCGCATGAAAATGCGGCATCATTATGCTAATAGCTCGGCGCGCTATAATTTCCCACGGAGAGCATCAGATTTTTGTTCTAAGGCTTCCAATGTGCTTTTAATGAGACTGTAGGTGTGAATCACAGCTGAGCTGCTAAAAGCTCCTGACTCAACCATTCAGTCAGAGCTGATTCACAACACCCAACACACAGCATATTGGTTGAGAAATATTTGTTTGGACTCCTCTGCGTGAAATTGTAGCAGATTTAAAATGAGATGAGATAATAACAAGCTTTTCTCCAGACAGACACACTTCATCCGTCGACGGCTTTGGTTTTGTTGCATAAGGCTTCACGTTGCAGTGTGGAGAGGGGATTGTAAGTGAACAGTCAGTTTTCTCGTTTTACCATCCCTGCACTGAGTAAAAAAAATATTCAGTAGGACAGAAACACACCACTCAAATTAAAATGATCCGAAAAGGTGAAATAAAATCCAAGACATCTGCTATAATCCTCCAGCCTTGTCCTATTGAGCCCAGAAACCCTTAGTGAAAAGTCAAGCCATCTCTAAAAGCTGAGTCTAAAATAATTCCCCCTAACTAAGCCCTGAGCCAATCCTTACCTGCCACCTGCCTCAGACACCTTAAATACACACCCATTCTTTGGGCTGCGTAAGAAACGTCCTAGCCGGGTCGTGAGCGTGGATGAAAGCATCCTCTGGAGCGTACTGCGTCGTGATAAAAGGAGGGGTATAACATAGACACATTTAACCGTTGAACTCAACATGGGTCCAAAATTTAGCAGGAAAAATGTTTAGTTCCAACTCTCAATCAGGGATGCACACACTGATACTAAGTCAAACTGGTAAACCTGCTACAGAAACGTAAAATATTTATTAATTCCTATGTATATTGTGAAGTCTCTATATATTTATTTCCATATGAAAGTGATACATTTTATCCCCCAATCATTTTTATTCCCTTTCTTACGATCAAGAGAAAAAGTGGGCCTAAAAATTGGTCGTAACTCGCTGTCTAGCTAGTTTTGATGAACTTTGCACCATTGTTTTCAGATGCAGAGGGACTTAAGCATCATAAAAAACTCTCTACTTCTTCTTTATTATAATGGCTGTTGGGAAAAACAACTAAAGGAAACATTACCGGCTGATCTGTATGTCAATCAAGTGACGGCATGGATAATATTCTGACCCCTATTTTATTTGTTTTTTACTTCATGCAGTTTACCCACTCTACTTTTGCAGCACCCCTGCTCTAAATGATAAAATTATTTGTTTATGTCTTTTCCCCAAGTTTCTTGACTCCGCTCCTGCTTTAGACAACAACTTGACTCACTCCAGTTCAAGTCAAAGCAAGCAGCAGTGCATGTGTGACAGAGCAAGGAGAGGAGACAGGATAAACTAGTTTGATAGCCTCTAGGCAACCGCACTGGATGCCTAACAGTCCACACCCATAATACCAGAAGATTTGAATAAAACACTTGGGTCTACAGAGAGGTGTGTGAACACTGAAGGTATCGATTATATGCTTAAACATATATATGTATATATAAATGTGCTATGTGAATGAATGTGAGGCTTTCAGGGAGTTGGTTCTTACCTGATATCCCTGCACAGCGTTGATGAGGTCTTTAACGCCGCTGCCGTTGTAGGGAAGGCCAGGCATCCGCACCAACCCTCCAGGGGAAGACATGGAGGAGTGGGCCGGGAAGAAACCCAGAGTTGTAGGCGAGCCAGGAGGACTGGGAAAAAAAAAAAAAGTGAACTTAATCTTATTTCTCAGAGGTTCTAAATGAAAAAAAAAATGGCTTATTCTCAGAAACTAAAACACACACTAACTAAGCAGCGGGAAGAAAAGCATGAAACTGGGAGGGACTGTGGGTGTTTAAATGCCTTCAAAATGACCGTCCAGACAGAAACAGAGGTCACTTCATGTTTACCAAGCTCCCTGATAACACAGTGTGCAGTTATTAACCACCCTTGTCCCAGTTTTTCTCCTTGACAAGAAACATTTCAACCCCAGACTAAACGTTCTTTTATTTCTGGTGACTAGAGCAGATCGAACAATGTGAGCGCCGCTCCAGTCTACAGTCTCTAATACGTGATCCCTCTGCATTTAGCTTCATCTGTCCTCCAAATTAACTGTGACCAGGTGATGTGCAGTGATAGTTTTTTTCCCCATACAGTCATGTGGAAAAAATAGATGCTTTTCCAACATAAAAATGCCAACCATAGTGAAAGGCTTAAGTAATACAAACACATAAGAAACTAACAAATTTTCAGTCAAATTTTCATGAAATTATTAAAGGACCAATTACACTTCCTTCTGTAATTTTTTACGCTTCCTTCATTAAAATTTTTAAACAAATATTTAGATTTTAGTCTGATCATTTCTGTCGATTTTGAACTCCTTTCAGAATAAGATGTTTTAGGGCATCTTGTCACTTTAAATCCAAAATTAAAATGAGTTCTTGGAGGTATAAACTCAACATTTATGTCCCAACAAAAAAATGATACGCAATTCTACCACTTGGAAAAGCAGAAGTAGGGCCTCTTGTACAATCAACTAGGAAGCAGGAAGGAGTTTCTCGACAGTAAATCACCAACAAAAACACTCCAGCAGCCATTGTACAGCGCACAAATCGGTAAAACCAGTTAATCAAACGTCCTCTTTGGTTACTAGGTGATGGGCAGAGTACCACCTTTTTGAAAAGGTTTTTTTCCAGACACCAAAAAAACATTAACTTACTGCCCAAGAACAGCTGGATATTTTTCAAGTTCTTGGGCTGTTTTTAGAAGCAGTTGAGACAAATGGGAATACGAAAATGTGCAAAATAATATGTTTCTGTAACACTCCGCGTACTGATGTAGAAAAGCCCAGTATGACCCTCAGAGATGTAGACAGGACCACTGAAGTAAGAGTGAACATCATGAGTAAGAGCAAGATCCTACATGAAGCCCAAACAAGCAATCAAAAACAGACTGAACAAGTTTAACTTTCCTTAGAAAAGGAAACCAACGCTCTCTCAGAGCAACAAAAACGCCTGGACCAGCGTTCACTAGAGCGAAAGATAACATAAAAATGTTTTGGTACCGCACAGAGAGAGGCAAACTTTCCTCAGAGTCTGCTGGATCGGGACAAGAACAACTTTTGCCTCAGGCAGAAAACACATTTTTGTTGATGAGTAAATTAAGGTTTAAGTTTTAAGTCACTTAAGAGCTGAATAAAAAAAAAATTGACATCAACATGTGAATATTTTCTTAAATAACTCAATATTTAATGGGGCGCCCCATTTATTTCATAAAGCTTTAAATTTGACAGCATTTTCAGTTCAGTTTCATTTTAGTTTGGTAAAGAGTCAACATTACACAGAAAACCCAAAATTTACCAAAAAGGGATCGGCTGAAGAAAATGATGCGCAATTATATCACTTTAAAGGTTTAAAACAAACATAAACTTTTTGTTTATGTTAGGCAAACATAAACAAATGTTTGCCTAAAATGTTCATAAACTCAGCAGCAGCTTGCAGTATTAAAAAATATCTTCTGTTCATATACATACACATATTTTGAAGGAATATGGCTGAAAGTTATGACCACAAACAATTGTTTCCAAGATTTAACAATGTTTTTGTTTATTTTTAACCTCTAATTGTTTATTTAATTTTTTTTACCTGGGGTAGTAAGCTCCGTAGTTCATGTACAGCTGAGCTGATGCGGGGTAGTAAGGATGTCCGGGGTGCAAGGGACGGGGAGCCAGCAACATCTGCCCCATAGGAGGGTAAAGGGCAGTTGCAACTGCGTCCGTGGGGAGGATTTGTTGAACTGGAGTGAAAGAGTACGATGGAGGAGATAAACCTAAATAATGGAAGAACAAGGACAGAAACAGAAATATAAAATCCGTCACACCTGGAGGAAGGGGGAGTCATGGTGGTGAAGCTAATCGTTTGATGTTGAGAGAGCGGCTCATGCAATGACCACTGATGTTTTTATTGTGCATGTGATGCATGCATTTTTCTGTGTAATGTACAAGATTTACAGAAATTACAGTTTAAAGATTCAAAAAATCAGTTTTAATTAGATTATGATTGAGCTGATTGATTGGAAATAAGACTCTTTTGCTCTTTTCCTAATTCTTCATAGATCAATCTACATGAGAACGAAACTGAACAATCCCAGCAGCAAGAAGCTATTGAAATTATTACGTCTTAAAAAGCTATTTTAGATGTACATATCCCAATATTTTATAGTAAAATAAAAAGGTTAAATCACTTCAGTCGTTTATTTTAAAAAGTAAAATTCTTTTATGACATATTGTTTCCACGATCGGTGTCTTTCAACTGTATGTTTGAGTAAATTACTAAGATTATGCTTTTCAATGAAAATCCAACAAAGTAAGAATATTGCAAAAGACTAGTGATAATAATGCTGTGGGTTTTAGCTCAGGTCAGTTTATTGGTCAGTCCAGCACAGAGATCACTGGTCATTAAACCAGATCTGTCCTCCTGTTACAGGGACTTTTCTACCTCTCCAGTCTTCTGTCAGACTCTCTGAACTCTATTTTCATATAAAATGCAAACGTTCATCTCAAAAGATGATAATGGTCTCCTGTGCAACAGTTCTTCTTCTCTTTAGCCCAGTTGAAACGTGTTTATAGTTGTCAGGGACAGTTGGATGTCCTGTCCTGGTTCGTAATGTGGGAAACGACTCTGGTTCAGTCCATGTCTTGTAAATCTCACCCAGAATTTTGAATAGTTTTCCTTCATAAACCTCAAAGAACTTTAGTTAGCCCTGTTTTTTAAGGGACCTTAATCTACCAGACTTTTTTCTTCCACTTAACTTTCTATTTATAAGCTTTTTTTTTTATAAGCTTATAAACAGCTTAGAAATGATATTTTTGTGGCTTATCCTCCCTGTGGAAATATGATTACTTTGGCCTTATATATATATTTTTTTTATGTAATATTAACAATTTCTGAAAAAAAAAGTATTATCGCTAGCTAAAAATAACAATAATCAAAATGAACATAAATATTTTGAATACATCACTATGTGTAATGTATGTATTCTAATTATAGTGAATATTTTCTTATTTAAAGAAATTATCTAAAATGCATCTCAAAATAAGCGGAACTCATTCCAACTAAAGCATGTAATATTGCCTATACAGATATAATCATTTGCAACATAAATCAGACATTCATCAGCTGTCAAACCAGCTTTAATTGTGAACAGACACTGAGACCAAAGCACATCTACGCAGCAGCTCTGCCCACCCCTCGCACAGATCCTGATTGGACAAGCACAGGAGACCCACACACATGCCTAACGTGTGCTTGTCTGTTGAGGCTAAATCCCAGGACCGCCACTACCGATCTGACAGGATCAGAAAACTGTAAGCCGCGCTGCCGTATTCTGAGCTTGTTGAGGAACCGCTTTGCTTACACTTTTCAGAGCCTTTCAGATCTTTGTGAATCAGTTCAGCAGTGGTAGAGTAAAGGAATCAGAAACGAGTAACAAACATGCCGATGGAAAATTACGCTACAGTATCCAATCAGAGTGAAAAGTGAAGGAATGTATTAAAAACAGTATCATCATTACATGCAAATGGTTGTAGTGATCATACTAAATTAAAACAAGAAGACTCACGTTGATACACACACACACACACACACCCACACACACACACACACACACACACACACACACACACACACACACACACACACACACACACACACACACACACACACACACACACACACACAGTCAGAGTATGAATCCTTCCCACATCCTCCCACAGATCTAGATTGGAGGAAAAACCAGCAACTCTGCCACCCCGGCAGGAGCCCACCTACCCTGCAGACCCGAAGCACCCCCAGCTCCCAGCAGCACTTACGTCTGGACTTACATGGCGGCGGGCTGAGCCCTGTCCCACTCCTGCTCCGGCTGTGTGTGTGTGTGTGCGTGTGTGAGAGTGAGCCTCCCATCAGCACCAGGCCCATCTCGTCAGTGCTGCAGGGAAACACTTCCACGTAGCGGCTGTTCGCCCCGCGCTGGCTGGACATCACGTGTTTGTGGAGCCGCTGCGAGGCCTGCAGCGCCCGCTCTGCTGAGGTCATCTGGATGAAGCAGTCGCCCGACGGACGGCCCTGCAAACACAGAGGAGAGAGGAAATGTGTCGCATCGAAGACACATTTGATACTTCACTTGCAGAGGCACAGAAATCACAGAAATGATCCAATAACCACACCACTTGGTCTCCCGCTCCACTTTTTTGTCTGCACTGTTGATAGCTGACTCACCTCAGCATGCCAGAAACCTGAAACTGAAAGTGATTTTCCAAGAAATTTGGCTAACAATTATTTGCCCACTGGAGGCCACTCAAGAGTGACTTTAAAATTAATTCCCAGCTACGCTGTTGTATCAAAGTATCAAGGACACAGAGCAGCTGAAAACTGTGAATTACAATCTCTAGATCACAGTAGACATACACTATTCAGTACAGTGGCACACAAACTTCAGATTCACCTAATGATCCACAAAATCCTGTTTATTTATTTACATTTACACCCAATTAAAAAGCCCTTTTTAATTCTTATCTTTATGGGTTCAAGCCTGCAGAGGCACAGAAGATTCTGAAACATAAGTTACAATTTCATACGCTTTATATTACTCGACTCATTGGACCGGATCAGACAGGATAAAGAACCTGGTACTGTTGATTATAATTTCGCTGCGTTCTACAAAAATGCTAAACTTTCAAGTAAAATCTCATTGTTGTCTTAAAACTGAATGGCTGAGAAATGTACATCTCTTACCTAGAGATGAAAACAAACACAAAAATGACAAATAATTTCTAAAACTGGTAACACTTCTTACACTAAAGTTAAAGTTAATTTTGTGGCTAATCTGACATGTTGTAGCAGATTAAATTTATGTCCAGACTACAAACATAATCTGGACCCCCATCTACAGGAGAGAGAACCAACAGTGTTGAGGGGATCGTTTTGCAAAAACTGAGAGTATTTTCACATCACCTGCAGCCTCAGGCAATCAGACAACGCCTCAAAATGATGATGAATGATCTCAGTGGCCATGGCTTTTGAATGAAAGCATGAATCTCAACTTAAAAGAACCCATCAGTTTTTATGAAGGTCATATTTTCAAGACATATTTATTCAGTTGATATGAAACTTCACATTCATCTTCAAGTTCTTTTTCAAAACTTGACTATGTTTTGATGGTAGGTGAAAGAAACTGAGAAAAAAAACTTCATTCAGAAAAATGTCTGATCTAGTGGAGTGGAAAATATGGTCTATTTGGAGATTTTAAGTTTTGTGTCCAAGTTGACTCCATGAACAGTGACCATACTAGCTTGAAATTTAACATATTTTGTTAAGAAGTAAGTAAAAGGACATTGAAAAAGATTAGTACAGGATGAACACGAGGGGATCATTAATGCAAAACTTTATCTTTTCCTGTGGTTATCACATTTTATTTACCTTCATGGCTACCAATTATTTCTTAAAATTGATGCTTTAAAATGCAAAATGATGCATAAATTTGGGCTTTGAGAGATACAAGAGAAATGTGCTAGGAAGAACATTTGCATGTCTCAATAAGGACAGTTTGCACTTCTGGAGCACCTTGCAGTTCAAATTTATTATTGTGTTTTATATTAATCTTTTAATCTTATTTAATTTATTATTTGGAGAGACAAGAACTTTTGAGAGACAGGAACAAACCGTCCTCTCAAAGAAACAGTGATGCAGTGACAATAAAGTTTATGTTGACTGAATAATTTTGTAAATTTGTGGAAGAAAGTATGTGAGCGCAGGGTGTGTCTAGATGGTTGCTGCATGTACCTGCTGGTTGAGCACCATGTGCACACCATGTGGTCTGACATCTTGTGTAAACTCGCCCAGGAAGGTGAGGATATCCTCGATGCTCGCCGTGTACGGTAGGCCCCTCAGCCTGAGGCAGTCCCTCACACCGCCAGGAGGAGGCAGGAGAGAAACCGTGGGCAGCACTGACACCAGGGGGGCCGGGGCAACAGGGATCAGCGGGGCGGAGGAGTACCGGTTCAACACCTGGAATACACACATGGTTTGACATGAGAATTGAAGTATTCATTCTGGATTAGGATTTCCTTGTTTGCCTGAGATGCTTTTAGATAAAGCAGCCAACTCAGACCTGCTGTTATGAGTTCAAACCCAACAATGAAACACCTACATGGCAGAACTAAGGAGGCAAAGAAAGCCGAGGCAATGCTGTGTTTAAATATGTCGCGCTGTCAAACAGGAGCTGGCCTGCAGCCAACAGGACACCAGCATGTTTGCATTTCTAGAGAAGACAGATAAAGGCCTCACAGGCTCATATACAAGAGGAAAAGTCTCTGCATAGATATACTTATGGGCTGTAGGTGCACCAGTCACAAGAGATAGGAAATTGAACATTAGAACCTCAGTGGACAGAGCGAAGCAGTGCAGGATTCTAAAAAGGAAGAAGTTTGTTTGCAAACACACAGATAGGATGAAGGTCTCAGGATTAAGGCTACACCCTCACATTGCTACAATATCTAATAGCCACAAGCATAAACATGATTTAAAACTGGAAAAAACCCTAAAAGGTAAGAAACAAAACAGCAAATAATAAATCTTCAATTGTTTTATACTCATTATTATCCCAGCCTCTTTCTGACCATTCAATTAGTAGCTTTAAGGCTGCAGTACATAACTTTTATTAAAAAATATATCTTTTTATATATTTGTTAAAACTGTCACTATGCCATAGCATTATGGTTTGATAATCTGTGAAAAAAATGAGTTCTCTGACTTTTCCCAGTAGGGTCTTAGTATTGTCAATCACCTCTCCATGTGGCGCTGCTCGTCCCCACCGCCGTAGCTCTCAGCTACACTGCAGCTAGCAGTGTAGCATGCTAACTAGAGTGAATGCTCACTCTAGTTAGCATGGCCACTGATGACAGTTTTCCTGTAACGGTAAGCTGTTTCTTCGCCACCATTACATTGAGATTGATTGGCAGCTCTAAGACACTCCTCCTAGCTCTGATTGGTTGGTTTTGGTGGGGTGCATTTCCTCACACAGCAGTAGCAGCTTAGCTTAGCTTACTTGGAAGCTCGATCTTTTCACAGATTATCAGTCTCACAACTTGGTGACAGTTTTAACAAATATGCAAAAACAAGAACTTTTGTAAAAGTTACCTTCTGCACCTTTAACAATACAAGTGTAATATGCATGTAACATCTTATTTTTCCTCAAACCTTCCACCAACACCACCAGACAACCAGACCCGCCACTCTGTTTAAACTGTTAGGAGAATCAAAGCTACATCACACCCCGACATACCTGCTGCACCTCCGCTGCCGTGCTTTTGAACAGCTCAATGTATCTCTTCCCCAGGAGCTCCTTGTGTTTCCTCAGAGCACACTGAGCGTGCTCCTCACAGGCAAATAACACGAAAGCGTCTCCCGTCGGTCGTCCGTCCGGGTAGCGGACGAAGAGGATGCCGTTCTTCCCTCCGCTGATGGGACACGTCTCTTTAGAGTCGTCCTCTGGTGAGAAAAATCGGAGAACGTCGTCGTGCGAGGCGTTGAAGGGGAGTCCTCGCATCCTCACTATGATCTGGTCCTCGCGGGACAGGAACATTGCTACCTCGTTTGAGGTACCTGATGGGACACAAGAAGATTTAGCCAAACTCACAACATGTTACGTTCTCCTTTATGGACTGCAGTGTAAGTGTTTTTTTTTTTTTTTTTTAAGTTTTGTAGCTTAAATTTGTCAGTTGCTGGACAGGAAAAAGTGCTGAGAGAAAAAGTGAAAGACAAGAAGCACAGAAATAGTACGAGGTCAGGAATTTAAATGCATTTTTGTGGAAGTCAAACTTGACTTTATCATCTTCATTATACAAAATTTCTTCTAGCATGTTATTGTCAGGCTCTTGTAAAATATGTTATTAATGTTATGTTATTATTTTTCACCACAGCTGAGTCATAGCGGACGATTCAATCTGCAAATTATAGGTTTTCTGTAAAATAATTGGAACAAAACACACCTAATGGAAACGTTAATTAATGGGCTACACTTTAACAAAGTGCATGACATTTTAAAATGTGGGCATAATTTCATCTTTATGTTTTTCTAAAATGTGAGTGATTACAACTATTACATTCAGGAATCTGCAGGCGCAGCAGCACCACCAAATGTCCTCAGGACTTCAACTAATCCAATCTTTTATTGCAATGCGAATGGAAAAATGTAGTTATGCATTATAGTTAAATATAGTAAACAAATAGTGCAATTTTTTCACTAACAGTCTTTCCTCTTTGCAGAGGTGCAACCAGAAAGTTTCCAAAAAGCGCGGTTGCATGGGAACCAAAAAGCAAAACAAAAATTAATAAGATTGATTGTGTTGCCATCACAATTAAAGTTTATTATGTTGCTGTAATGATTAAAGAAGTAGACAAATATTACAAAGTGGCGCCCGACAAAACACAAAAAAACAAAGGTGAAATTATTATTTCCAATAACTAAACAAATACTAAAATAATAACTAACAATTTCACCAAATAGGAAAATTTAATTTTATACAATAATTTGGACATTTATTTTTTAATTTATTTTGCATTTTGTTACGTATTCAAACTTGAAATTGCTATAACTACATGCATTTAGCTGATGTTAGTGTTTTCAACAGTCCTATCCATAAATATTTAAATCATGTATCCATTCACTTGTGGCGATTTTTGTTTTTGATACATATAATCCTTCTAAGAAATGAGAAAATATACATCATACGAATTCACGGTTGTCTCACCTCCTGCTATCTTCAGAAAGTCTTCTCCCGTTGCTTTGTAAACCTGTTGTTAAAAACAAACATGTTGTCCGTTTAGTGCTTGTGGCTTCAGTGTAAAATTGGTGTAAAATGACAGAATGAGGGGTTTTCAAGCTGTGCCTGCTGATCCGTTACCTCAATGTATCTGTTGCCCATGTGGTGCTTGTGCCTCTGCAAGGCTAAGTCTCTGTGCTCTTCACTGACAAAACGAACAAGTGCTTCTCCATTCCTCCTGCCCTGAGCGTTGAGACACAGAGCGGCTCCTCCTCTGTAAAATACAACATTGAGCATACAGTGGAAGATCACCCTAAATGAAAGCTTGCGTGACTGCACTCCATTTCCACTTGGACGTACTTGGCAATGTTGAGGCCTTTAAAGAACCGAGCGATGTCCTGGTCAGAAGACTGCCATGGCAACCCTCTGGCTCTGATCACCGTGTTATCGCACACTTTCTCCATCTTACTGCTGCAGACAGGGATACATACAAATACAGTCTCAGGAACAACCTGGTAGGAAACAGACTGGGTTGATTCTAATGTTAGAAAGAGAATAAACAAAAAATAATTCACTTACCAAGTGCCACCTTCAAATCTCTCATTTACTCTCTCTGGGTTGCAAAAACTGTGACCTGGAATGGAAAAGCAAAGAATGATCATTATTATAGTTTATAGTTTAAGTGCTTTTCTTGCTTTCGATTTTAAAATCACCCACTTTCAACTTTTATTTTGTTTTTTTACACTTAAACATGGATTGGACCTTCACATTTTGAGGATACAGAGCCTCACAGAAGTGAGTTTTTTCCACATTCTGTCATGTTAAAAACTTGAATTCATTTCATTGGATTTTATGAGTTAAATTAACCAATTCAAATTTTTCAAAATGTCTCTTTATTAATGAGTAGGGTCCTTGATTTTGTACTTCATTCTCAATGTAAATGCAGCTGTTCCATGAAGACCTCAGAGGTTTGCGAGAGCACATTAGTGAAGAAACATAATGAAGATCAGGGAACGCATAAGAAAGGTCAGGGAGAAAATTTAAAGTGGATAAAGCTATAGAATATTATCCACAGAGCTCTGTTCAATCCATCATTACAACAAATCTGACCTTTATGGAAGAAACAGCAACAGGAAGAAAAAAAACGTTTTTTGAGTGAATATGTTGGAGTTTTGCACAAACGCAGTAAACATGTAGGCAAAGGCACCCTGGTCAGAGGAGACCAAAGTTTACATGCAAAACAAAATGTGGGGAGGAAAGCCCAAAATGTATATCATGCTGGACACATCACATGTGGCATGTGGTGGTGGCAGCATTGTGGTGTGGAAATGATTTTCTTCAGAAGTGACAGAGAATCTGGACAAAGCTGTTGGGACGATGGATGGAGGCAAACACTGAGGAAACATGTTAGAGGCTGCAGAACACTTCAGATTTGATAGAAGAACTACGACCCTAAACATCTTCAGAATATAGTTTGCTCTATAGCTTTAGAGCAAACTATATTCATGTGTTAGATTGGCCTAGTCAAAGTCCAGACCACACTTTCCAGATTTTTTTTTTCTAAAACATTTTAACTCGTGTATAATTTTCCTGGGTGGATTCTGAAAAAGACATTATGTACCATGTATTGCTACGTTAAAGGTATGTGCTACTTTGTGTTCGCCTGTCACATAAAATCCACCAAAATTGAAGTTACTCGATAGCGTAATTAGCAGCTGTCGTTCTCTTCTCCTACTACAGTGATAGCAAATCTGTCTCGTTTACAGTGCAGTTTTCTCTTAGCCTCCTGTGTGAGATACTCACAGTATGGCTCAGAGAGCAGAGAGAGAACAATGCTGGTCATAAGCTGGACCTGCTGCACGGCCACTTCTGCAGGCAGAGGATCCTGATTGGCCGAGGGATCCCACATGGAGGACACGTCGACAGGTAGGCTAAGAGCTGAAGAGGATCCAGTTAAGAAAAGTACTTATCCAGACAGACAGGTGTGTTTAATGAAAAATGGGAAGAAGCACGTCTGGATGGGTGACTTAAAACACTGACATGCCGGGTTTTCTGTACCACTGGGTGTGTGAGGTTAGCCCTAATGGCTAAACACACACTCTTTCTCTTATGGCTTTGCAAAGTGCTCCATTCTTTCCTTATTTGCATTTCAAAACCTCTTACTCTGCAGCCAACACCCTGGCTTTAAACCTGTAATGAGTTATTACTGAGTGTAAAATGTTCACACCAGATTAAACCAGAACGAAGGAACCAAAAGCACACTTACAGTGCAGTGAAAATTATTTGCACCCTTACAGATTTCAGCTTGGACGTTTTTATTATTTTCAGATCAAACAGATGTTAATATCAAAAAGAACCTGGGGAAACATGAAATGCAGTTTTCAAATGCTGAATTCCCTTAGGGAAAAAGATAAAATGACACTTTTGTTATTATTAACCTATGTGGAAAAATAATACCATGCAATGAAAACTGTTTTATGTTTTTGTGAAAGAACTTTAGCCCACTTGTAGTTGCTGAAATATATTTAAATCACATAAATTGGAGACGGTTTGCATCTTTTTATCCTCTTTCAGCTCACACCACAGCATCTCAATCAGATCACGCCAAAATGTTCATTTTGTTTTTAATTGTTTAGTTCCATCTGTACTTTCTGAAAAGCTGCACTAACTTTACACAAAATTTCAAAAAAAAGGTTCTACCTTTGTCTTATCAGAATACGTTTCAAATGTCTTGGGGATCTTAAGAATTATTTTTGCCAAATGTGATACAAGTGTTTGTGTTATTTATATTATTTTGGTCTTGGTTTTAGTCTCATTCTCATTAAACCATTAACACTCATCCTAATGGACGTATCCAAGACCCGCAGTGCATCTCTTTTATTTTCATTTTTTTGTGATCTCCTGGAAAACTATTTTGTCGCCGAGTCACTTCTGGCAAACGTTCCATGTTTTGTCCCTTTGTGGATAACGGCTCCTATTGATGTCCACTGAAGCCTAAGAGTTGTTGTAACTCTCTCAATGTTGTACTATTATAACTGTTTCTCTTCCGGTTTCGACACGTTTTAGATCTGGGCCTGATGGTTAGCTTTTGGAGACCTCTTGACCCACTTTATGCCGTCAGACAAATGTGATCAGACACATGTAATGTAAGCTTTTATCATTTATATTTTCACCTGGGGTCACAGAGGTTCGGATAGTTTTTTTTTCCCTACATATATGAAATCTTGCTCATGTGATCTTTGCTGTTAACATTTGTTTTTTGTTTTAAAGCATTTAGGTGTGATATAAAATCAATCACACCAGACATTTTTAGTACCAACAAGTCAACAAAGGATACACTCTGCCATGACGTGTGCATTCAAAGCCTTGAGGTCAGAGGTGGCGAAGTGGTTCTTGAACTCTTTCCGCAAGTCAAAGAAAGAGTAGAAACAGTCTGGGACCGGGATGTTCTAGTAAGAGGGGAGAACATTCAGAGAAAAGGATGTGAACAAGAAGCCCATTAGCAGCTGCTGTTTTATTACAGTCACCGCATTCATGTTTGCTCAAGCCAGCATGGCACACACCGCCTTCTTTGCGACTCTTATTTGTGTAACAGTTGTGGGAGAATGCATTCAGCCTCTCTGCCTGCGCACAGGTGTAGCACGGTATGTTCAAGGGGCGTGTGTCATTGGACAGGTTCAGAGTAACTCGGCTGAGAGTCAACGCTGGAGTTTCCTGCAGCCGGGAGGCGTTCAGCCCAACCCAGTTCGCTCACCTTGCTGGCGGCCTCTGGGTGAATCACTTGACGGATATGGAGCTGCCCGTCCGTACACAAACACAACGACGTGCCCGCGCCCGCACTGTTCACCTCATTTGTCAGCTGCAGATTGAACTAAAATACAAAATAGAGAAAGGGGGGAGGGACAAGTCGCTTACTGGAAGAAAACTTGATTATCGCCAAGATTTAAGGCCAGAAGACAATTGACATTGAAGACTCAAAAGACATCATTACCATATTTAAACCACTGTCAAGACTTGCTGCAGTGTACATGCAGTCTGCTCCGGAGGAAGACTCATCCTCTTTACACTCAACCACCACATCTTCATCTGACTTTTCCTCTGTGGAGTCTGAGAGGTCAGGCCTAATGAGGATCTCATTCACCCTGCCCAACTGGTTCAGAGACAGAAAACAAGTCAGTCCTGAAACAGAAACTTACCGAGGAACCTGTAAGGTTTGGAATAACAGCGCACATCTAAATATCTAAATGACTGATCTTTTGTCACATCATAATGTAGATATTATGACTCTCATGAGCAGGAGCCGGTTAGTTTGTGACATTAAGCATAACAGACGTTTAACATCCTTACATATTACCACAAAAGTATCTTTGCTTCTTTGGATTCAAATCAAACAGATAATTCAAGAAAAGAACAGAACAGACATTTTGTTAAAGAGTCGTTCCAACTCTTAACATGGTGTGGTTTGAGTTTATAGTCTCCCCGTCCATTCTACTCAATAGATTTCCTGCTTGAACCACATCCACAGCTAAAGAGTAAGAAGGCGATTTTTGTTGTTGTTTGTTTTTGTTTTTACCGTTTTGGTGTTCACATTGACCAGCTGCCAGACCAGCCGGTCCAGGTCCTTCTCGTCAGAACCCAGCAGCTCTCCGCTCGCTCCAGATGTGGCGGTGAAAACCACCACCAGGTAGTCTACCTGCGCCGTCATCTGAACGAACACGACCCTGAAATAAAAAAAACCTGAGGGGATACTGCACTGAGCCGGAGGGCAGCGCGGAGGGCGATGTGAGGCTGAGACGCGAAGGAGGAATAGAAATGACTTTCACTGTGACACCTGAGCGCAAAGGTGAGCTTGGTAAATCCAGAAAGCTTGATCCCTCCCAGAACCTGCTGCAGTCACCATCGCGGAGTAATGGCTGAACGATCAACGCTTTTGTAGGGACTCTTACCTGTCTGACCACGTGACTGCATACCTGGTGTCCCCGCCTACTTTCAGGTGCAGGAGAGATTAGGACGTGGCAGAGAGTGGAGGGCTGAAATTTGTTCCTGTCATTCACTGCGATATTATCCAGCCCTCGAGTTCAGCGGCCTAAAGGGGGGAGATGGGCTTTTTATATCAGTAGCAACAGAAAAAAAATAAATAAATTAAAAATAATAATAATAATAATAATAATTCTTTGTGTCGCTTCTGAAAGAGAAATCACAAAAAGACAGTTGTTTCTATTTTACAACAAAGCATTTACATGTTAATGTATTTTACCTTAACAACCACAGAGAGAGAAAAAGCAGAAACAGAAACGGCTTAAAACCACAACAAATTAACATCAAAACACACTAATACCGAATAAGTTGGTCAAATTAATAATGTCTTATCATGAGATAAGCACGACTTCCCCACCCCAAATAAAATCTCTTCTCAGTCATTTGAGATATAAAAATATTGAGTACAACTTAATTGTACTGCTACTGCAAATTATAATACTAATGATAATAATAAGAAGGAGAATAAACATTTGTAAGCTGAAGTACTATTGATAACAGCAGCAGCTACAGCAACAATAATTGTATTATTATTATCATTATTATTATATTATTATTATTATTATTATTATTATTATTATATTATTATTATTATTATTATTATTATTATTATTATTATCGTTGTTGTTGTTGTTGTTGTTGTTGTTACTGGTGATACATATTATTTTAGAATAGCAATACAACTATTATACTACTACTACTACCATTATTAATAATAATAATAATAATAATAATAATAATAATAATAATAATAATAATAATAATAATAATAATAATAATATATAATAATAATAATAATTCTTGTTGTTATTATTATTCCTACTACTACTAAAATAATAATATTTTATTATTATGAATAATAATAATAAATTATTCTTTATTATAATTTATAACAACAATAATTTGTCTTATTTATTCATATTTCACATTTAGTTCCATTAGGTAGTTCATTACCATTTTTGTTTGTTTTGAATCGTAGTGTGTTGATTTGCACCGGATGTATTTAATGGGCCGGAAGTTTTTCTTCTCCCGTCCCCACCGTGAGGAAGCCATGGCGGGGGACGCCTCAACGGAGCTTCTTTTTCTCGATACATTTAAGCATCAAAGCGCTGAGGTAACTCTGACCTTTGCATCTCAGTTTCTCCTTTGTATTTCCCTCAGAGAAGCCCGCATGCAAAACTCATATCGATCTCATTTAGTACTTTTTACGGAATGGTGCTCAACTTTGAAGCTAACGATGCTAACTTGGCTAACATTAGCAGTTGTGTGTTTTTACACATCTACGGGTCAGAGTGGCTGCTTTGAAGTCGCGATTCACAAAATACCTTATAAACTATTGTATCAACATAGCCCTTTATCTTCAAGTGTTTGATTTATTTTTCGTCCATATGGCCTGTAGTTTGTTTGCAGGTTACCTCACATGCTAATGCTACAGTACAATAAAGAGCTAATCGTGTTTAAATTAGATGACGCTTCAGATGTCTGGTTTTTGTGGTGCAGTGCTTGACTGCTGTCCTGTGTTCTGCAGCTAACCAACGTGGATGTCGTGCGGTTTCCTTGCGGGGTTTTGATCACAGAGGTTCGGGTGATTCCTCCAGGGATCAAAGCTCACAGTAACTTACCTGACAACAGAGCATTCGGGTAAGAGCTGCTGTTTCACAACAGCCACTGGCTGAATAATTACTTGTGTTTCCCGTTTTAAATGTATATGGTCTAACTAGTACCTTGCAGAAGTATCCCTCTAACGTTTTCCCTTTTTCAATTCACAACCAAAAATGTCCATGCATTTCAATAGGATTTTATGAAGCGTCAACTGAACTTGAAAATATATAAAATGTGTCTTTTAAAGTCTTTCAAATGAAAATGTGTCATGCATTTGTATTCAACCACTTCCCTTTAGCTGCCAATAATAGCTCACCTTTGTTTAATTTAATCTGAGTATAAATCCAGTAGTGCTATAAATGCCTCAGAGGTTTATTTTAGAACAGTGGTGGATAAACAGGATCAGCACTCTGGTCAGGTCAGGGTCAAAGCGAGGCAGAGGTCAAATGGTCTAGTCAGGTTTTAAGAGGTCCACCTGCGAACCTCTACATTTGTTTAAACCTTCACATCACTCCAATTAAATCATCTGCAATTTGAAACTTGAAGTTGGCAGTATAATGCTGTGGAGATCATTTTTTCGTTTGGTTAAAGTTGATAGAAATATAGATGAAGCTACATAAGATGCAATCCTGGAAGGAAATTCATTTGAGATTGTGAAAGCCTTGAAACTGATGCTCGTCTTTTAGCATCAGTTAAAAAGTTCGGGAACATAAAATCAGAGCTGCAACAGTACAGTTTAGATCAAAGCAGATTCGTGTGAGAATGGTTCAGTCAAAGTCCAGACATTGCGGAGAAGAACTGGTAAAACTTTCAGTCTCTATATATGCAAAGTTGGAAGAGACATGGCACAAGAGATGTATAGCATAAGGACATGAACATTTGCAGATGTGTGAAATGAACAGATGTGTGAAGATGTAAGTCTTCACACATTAAATTATAAAATGTAAAAACGTTAAAGGGTTTTGAGTAGACCGCCGGCCCACTGCAGATGTAGTGAAACATTTTGAGATAATCAGAATGTTTGGGTTGTGCTTGTATACAAGAGAAAATGTGAGTAGGTGCTCATTTCTAGCTGGAATGTTGAGATGTTTGTGATCTATTCTAACCAAATGTAATGACAAAATTCTTAAGAATGTGGAAATGTTAACAAATGGGGTATGGCAGCTTTTAATAAAACTCTGGTATGGATATATGTAGCCATTTGTTTTTCTTGATATTTTCAGAAAGTAGTTTTGGTGATTTTTGTATTTGGGCCAGAAGCTTTACCAGAAATTGTACTCCATCATTTTTTAACTTTAATAAGTTAAATGTTACTCTACACAATTTATTATGTCTGTAGTTAAAAAAACAAACAGATAAGCCATTAAGTCAAATGTCAAGATGTTCAAGGATCAGCAGAAGCTGTCAGGGCAATAAGTTTAGAGATCCTAACTGTGTGGTTTCTGTATTTGCAGGGAGACGTCTCCTCACGCTTTTCAGTTGGAGCTGTTCTTCAACAATGTCACCAAACCCAACAGCCCCACCTTTCATAGGCTGGGCAGGTCAGAATTATTTCCACTCTACCTTCTCTCATTTTGTAATTTTAAACCGTCTCATTCTTATTATTTGCATTTCCCGAACGCTTTAGACGGAAGAGTCTGTCCCACCTGTAGAACCAGTCACCGCAGCGTGTGGGACTGGTTTTCTTAGGACTGTTGTGCACCCATCCTTAGTACTGTGTCTTTGTTTCCTGCATTGGCTAACTGGTCTGTCCAGAAACCCAACCCTAGACGCACTATCTGACAGTGTCACAAAAATGTGAAGGGCTCATTGAAGCGAGATGTGAAAAGGAATGTTTTTGTCTCACAGTTTTATACTGGCTGCGTAATAACCAAGGTGTGCACAGCAGCTCTGGAGCGTAAACATGCATGTAGAGTTGCCTTTTTGTAAGGCTTACTGAGACACACCCGCGTTATTATACGTCCTGGGAAAGTCAGCAGGACAGGTTTGACTAATCTCTATGACTACTGTAGAAACATCACTTCAGTAACTTAAGCCGATGCGACTGGGATGTTTTTAAATAAACATTTCTTGGACTGTGACTCAGTTAGCTACTCATACTTCCCATTATTAATATAATCACATACAAGATTTTTCTTCGTGGAATGTAGTGTTGTTGCGATCAGTTCATCCAAAAACTCTCTCCTCCTTTCTTCTTCTTCACTTCTTAGGAAGTGTGTTAGGTGTCATAATATGACAACCTAAAGGTAAAGCTCTTCAGCTCTGGTCTTTAAAGTTAAAAACTGGTCTTTGCCAGTTAAAAATATTTCCCTGCTCCAGTCTGTCTGACTGAGGTGATTTTATAACCCTCTGTATCATTTAGCTGAGCATACTGTATGAAATCTCTATGTTTTTTTTTCCTTTGTTGGCAGAGGTGTATTATCAATTAGGCAAATTAAAATGCGTTTCTGTGTTTTCTTTTTGTTTTAATTATTTATGTTTCGGTTTTTATCCACAGTTTGGAATATGATGAAAACAAGTCCATAGTCTTTAGGCCCAGCGGAAAGGTAACAGATCCGTTATGAATCACGTCATTTCTGTTCTCTGTGATTGATTTGTGAATAATGATTCAACGCCGTGTATGCAGGTGAACACAGATGGGCTGGTGCTTCGCGGGTGGTACACCAGCCTGACTTTGGCGGTCTACGGCACCGCTGAGCGTCCTCACGGACACGACCACGGTTCGCCTCCTCCACCGCCGCCGCCTCCCCCGCAACAACCAACTGGGCTCAAGCGGATTGTCAAACAAGGTGGAGCTGCTAAGCCTCCATCTACTCTGATCTTTGCATCTACTTCCTGAAAGCATTTGTTTCTGTTCTCTTAGACTTCTGTATTTTTGCACGCTAAATGTCTTTGTATTTTTGTTTTTAAAGAATGGGAAAAAGATGACCAGTATAACGGCAGCCCACCCAGACCAGCACCCAGAGGACCTCGTACTCCGCCTGGACCTCCACCCCCAGATGACGATGAGGAGGAGCAAGTCCCAATGGCAGGTGAGATCCGAGATGCTGGATCAACTTTATACATGTTGATTTATAGAATACTAATGAATACTTTTGCAGAAGTTTAATATGAAAATTTACTACTTTCATTGAGCTTTTCTTTTTTTTTGCATTTATCACATTAGTACAATAGCACAATAATTATTGTATTCATACTCCTGTATTCATACGCTTTTTATGGATGACTAGCGGTGCTGTCTTCTGGATGGTGGCCAAACT